CGCTTTCGCTACTCGCATACTTGTCCAAACACCCTTATTTGAGGGTGTGCGACATTACACCCTTTTTCTAAGGTGTTTTCTTACACGAATAAGGGTGCTCCCTATAGGACAGGCCATTTACACAAATAAGGGTATAAAACTTTTATGTGCGTGCCGTTTGAGAGGTGGTGGTACTGGCTCACGCTGTACTTGAGAAATTCAGCCTGTGCAACCCAAACACGTGCCGGTACGATGCTCATCCTGATTGGTGGGGACGAACCCAGGATTTCCGGGTTTTTGTAGCCTGATCTTTCTGCTCTCCACATGCCCCGAGCTACCAGGCGCTAGCACACTCGGTTAGGGACTCTCAGAAAACCAGGACTCAAACAGGAAATGTTGCGGGTCCCTCGCCATCGCTGAAGGTATAAAATATATGGGCGAACTAGCATATAATTATTTATTTATTTGCACCATATAGTATCTCTCTTTCTCTCCCTTGCACAATATTACCAACTGCAGAGCTTACAGATGTTTCTGTGACTATCAGACAACTTAGTCAAATTTCGACACGGGCTTAAAATCATGTGGGTTACCACAATTTCAAGGCTGCTTGCAGAGTTTTTGCTGAACCTGGAAACACGACTTGCAAAAACTTGCATATTATACAGTTTGTTGCAATATATGGTCAGCAGGGGAAGCTCCAACTCCGGCTCGAGCTCTCTAAGTTTGGTAACGCTTCAACTTACGAAGAATGACAAGCGCGAGGTGGAGACGGAGCTTCTCCAGCTGACCTTCTCGGTGTGGTCCAACCATTCGTAGGTACCGTCTCTATCTGTACCACATCGCGCTCGGCGTGAGTTGATATTACAAGGGCGCCAGGGTGGTTCGTGCCCCAGTAGACTTCTGGTAAAGCGCTTATTTGTCCATCTCTAATGCAAAGCGTGCTTTGTGTTCCGAGTTATACCTTTATATGAACGTGCATACAAGGGTCGTTTGATGAGTTTGGTAAAAAAACTGGTTAAACGCTTTGTTAGAAGAAAAAATTGATGTCGTTTCTCAACATAGTCCCCATTGAGGACTATCCACTTGGTCCAGCGAGTTCCTAAATTTTCTTTCTCTCAGAAAATGAGGTTTTCTTGAAGGCTAGAAAATATGAACTGACAAAAGTAATGACATTCTCATTTGATGAGAACTTTTTCCGACAGAGTCAGATTTCTCAAGTTCGCGAACACTGATAAAACACACGACGCCATATCAGAAGAATGGGGTGGAGGAAGAATCAACTCGAAGTACAATTCTTCCAATTTTGTCATTGTCACGGTCATTTCGTGGAAGAGCGCGTTGTCTTGGTGAATGAACAGTCTGGTACTAACACCTCCTAGATCACAAGGCCGTAGTGCTGATAATTTTTCGTCACAGAAGAAGGCCGATCGCGGGCGGTGATTGGATACGAGCGCTGCGTCCGTCTCTCTGATTAGACACGAGACGCTGACGCAGCCCTCGCGTCCAATCACGGCCCGCGATCGGCCTTCTTTTGTGGCCAAAAATTATCAGCATTATGGCCTTGTTATCTTGGAGGTGGTGCTGGTACCCATCGCGCACATAGCTTTTTGTAGAGGGTTTTATGCACACGTTATTTTGAGATGCCTATGGTCTCAGCAGTCTTGTGCACATTCACTCGACTGTCCTCCAATTAATATACTATGAATTTATTCAACAATATCCGTCGTGGTGAACTCAACTCGGCGTCCGGAGCGCGCTTCATCTTCAGGGAACGTTCTGCCACGTTTAATCCAATAAACCCAGAGCTAAACAGCCTTGAACGTTGAATAAGGGTCCCCATGAACTTAATGCAACTCGGTTGTGATGCGTGGACGTTAACATTTTTAAAACAAACGTGCTTGATCATTGCACAGGGCTGGTTTTTTGTTTTTTTTTCAGTGTTGTGGCAAGCGCTACAGTGTTTGCTTCAGCCGTCTGTCAAACATGAACAGGGCTTCGCTCCTGTCTGGAAGCTAGCCTGGGCTATTTTGAAGAATGACACTTGCCAGCCATGGCATCATCCATTGAATTGTTCATCGTATAAATTTACCAAACTTATCAAACGACCCTTGTACTTGCGAGCTGTACAGGAAGCAAAATTACGTGGAACAAAACGGAGAGAAGTTCGAATCCGGAAGCGCGCAGGGGTTCGCCAATAGTGGACTCCATTAGCGGCGAGATGTTTTGGTGGCGCCCTCCTATGGTTCCCCCTTGTGACGTCATTACCTTGCGAAAAACAAGTTCGATGGTGTTTGTAAATAGCATGATGGAAGCCTGAAATCATTGCGCTCTCGAAGCAACACTGCCAACACCGTCGAAATTAAAGTTCTTTCATTCCTCGTATTTCCGTCGATGGTATACCCTTTCCGACGTCATAGTCAGCTTTTGGGCCAATCGTGGAAGGCCGACCACAGCGACGTTTTCGGTCGCGCACGTCGCCAATAGCCTGTGACAGCTCAAGAGTGCAGTGGAAGCTCCGCTTCCAGCACGAGCTTTGTGGCCTTGATAGCACAAGTGTGCACGCGCAGCCAAAGCGCGGCGGAAAGCAAGGAGCGCGCGCTGAAGGCGGAGGTTCCACTGCACTCTTGAGCTGTCACCCACCATAGTGAGCTTGTTTACAAACAGACAAATAAATAGCTGACGTCCATATTCCACCGTATCACGGCCAAAGCTATAATTGTATCTTTTTAGCAACCACGCGCAATAAAAGCCCGGGGTAATCGCTTTGGGTGACGCCTCGGCAGCTGCGCGAGCACTCGTGCTGCGAGGATGCAAACCTACGCAGTCAGGGCTGCCATCTCACGCCAGCGCAGCCTCCGTGGTTAGTCCATGTTAGCGTGAGACTGCGAAGTACTACTGAAGAGGTTGTGCAAGCGCGAGCGGCTAGCCTTGATAAACTCGACTGGAGTACTCTCTGCCCGAGCGCTCGCTCAGCCACCGAGGGGTGATTCAAAGGAAACGGCTCGCGCCTTTAGCATGCATGGCTAACAATAGTCCATGCTGAGGTGAGACAAAGTTTAGCCTGAGCCAAGGCGCCCTAAGCCAGAAGACCCTCTCTAACAGGCTCCAGTGATAAGAGAAAGCCCAGCCTGAAACAGAGCACTTTTAGCATCGTTTTGCCTTATGCCCGATGCACTACCGCCGGTGCGAGGCAGGAAAACGCAGCGGATTCGGCTCGCGCTTCAATACTTCGTTTAACCTTAGCATGGGCTATTGTTGGTCGCGTGCTAAAAGCGCGAGCTATTTGCTTTCGACGACACCTCGGCGGCTGCACGAGGGCTCGTGTGGCGCGAACGCCAATGAAGGCTACCGTCTCGCGCTGGAGCAGCCTCCGGGGCCAGTCCATGCTAAGGTGAGACGAAGTATAGCTTTAACTTTGCTCGGTTTAAATTTGGCCTTTTAGCGATGGAGCAATAATCTTGAGCGTTAGCTTATCACTTTAAAATGCACATTGGCTGCGGGAGAAGCAATTACACATTGCACGTCTGCGCTAGGCGCGCCCAGCTGTGACCTTGAGAGGTTCCGAGGTTCGGAGCTGTCTTGAACGTGTTATCAGTGCTATGCCCTTACTGCATTACGATGTCTCCTCTCCGGATTCGAAGATAAGATTGGCGGTGCAGGCGGAAACAGAGGGCACATTGGAAATTGGAAAAGTGATTTCGCTCGGGGCTTAGGCGCCACATGTCGTCACGGAATGGAATTAAACCGAATGTCTCGGATTCTTGGCCATGTATAGGTACCGTGTTTTCGGAGCTTATATCTTGTGAAATTCGAAGGCTACTTTTCGGAGTTTATTTATTGACAAAACATTTCAGGTTATGGATTTTTTTTTGTCAGATTTTATTTTTGCGTATTTCAGAGTTTAGCTTCGCTTTATTTTTAATTTTTGAGAAATACTGCTCTAGATTCATGAGAACTGTCCAGTATCAAATGATATTTCTTCGGCTTTGATTTGGTATATAGTGCCCTTGATATTCTTAATACTAACCGGCCCTCGACCAAACTTGCAAACCAGTGGGAGTTTGGATACCTCTTTCCTTCCGGTACCATTCCTCCACCCTACCCCGTGGTTGCATAGACCTGGGGAAGGCCCGAAGGGAGTTGAAGTTTCACCTGCCCATCACCTACTCCAATAAAATCTAGAGGTTCATAACTTCCACGGTACTAACAGCACAACCCCTCTTTTACCTAAGAAGCAAAAATACTGTGGTTCAACCGGGAAATTTCGAGCAGTGACTCTTCGTGACCCGGAAGCAGAATGACCCGTTGTCCTGACCCAACGTCGTAGAGCTAAGCGGTACACACTCTTTTAGCAATGATTAAAAAACAACAAAAAAAAACAACAACTGGTGTGGTATTTTTTAGCGCAATGTCCACGTGCTCTGAGAAAAATCTTATTTTCAAATACTTCTTTTTTTTTTTTACACCGCGATTTCAAAATTTTGAAGTTGTTCGAATAAATTCAAATACACCGATCTCAACAGCCAGTTTGACTATAGCCACCGCTGCCGCAATGCATCGAGGGATCGAGGGAACTTTAATATTTTTGCATGTGCGACAACCTCGCAAGAGATCTGCTCGTGTATATCACAAAACGGCACGTGCTTTTCCATGGACTGCCGTCTGCCAACTGAGAACTAAAGTTATGACGGCGTGACATATTCACCGAACACTTGGTGAGATCGGTCTATTGACGAAAATTTTAGCGGCGAGTGTTTTGCTGAGTTTCTCAGAATTCTTTAAAAATACGAAACCCTAGTTAATGATATCATCAACATATTTTTACAAAAGCTGTATGCTACTTCAAGCGGAGAAGGCTAGGTCATGTGGCTGTTACGTCATGACCCTATCGACCAATCAGGATTTTCCCGTCACGGCAGCTTTTCTGGCACGGGCGTCACGCCGGCTTTTCTGGGAGGTCACCGAGGCCGGCGCACCACGAGCTCCTTAACACTTTCGCGTTAAAACGTTTGACTCACCTGATTGTGGGTCTTCCCATCAAGCCCTCCGGCTTGATGAAGGCCCGCTCGACCAGCATCATTCGGTCGTTGACCATCCGCAGCGTGCCCATACTGCGCATGGATTAAACCTCAGTCACTTCATTGTACGGGGGTACTGAACTCTCCGAGTTATTCACCACAGAGAAAAATGCGCAAACATAAACAAAATGTTACACGCGTCATTTTTTCTCAAAGTTTTATAACGCCATCGCTTACATTTGTTACAATGACTTTCAGCAGTTGTCTTGGTATGTGAAGAAGAATACATGCCTTGCACGGTCATAGGGCACCCTACCAGCCGCCATGCAACCTACCATGTTCTTTTGCCTGTACCCTTTGCAGCAAATATTTGGCATCTTCGAATTCGTTCTTTTCGGCAAGGCATACCGAGGAGAACAAATTCGATGGTAAGTAAGTAAGGTAAGTAGGAAGATTGACGTCACATGACATGACGTCGCCGGACGTAGTAACGTGATCTGGAGTCACGGTGTCTTGTCCTGGCACCCTGCGTGTCTTTAGCAGTCAGTTAGTATAAATAACGGGATCATTGTGATATAGAACATCGAAACCCAACATGTAAATCGTCGTCCGATTGGTTGTAATTCTCTCCTTCGAAAAGTTCAGCCGGCAAACACTGTCAGTCGCCATCTGTTCGGGCGCGACGCGTGATTGGATCCGAGTCTTCGCCGAACGCTGACGTAACTTTCGTGTCCAATACAGGCTCATTGGGTGCCCAAATAATGGCGGAATGGGATGATTGGAGCAGCATGTACCACGGAACACTAACTTTTGAAAAAAAGATCTCTCTCTCTCTCTTTCTCTATCTCTCTCTCTCTCTCTCTCTCTCTATATATATATATATATATATATATATATATATATATATATATATATATATATATATATATATATATATATATATATATATATATATATATATTTTGATAGCTACTAGATATTCTCTAATTTTTTTTCTGTATTAAAAAAAATGCTGTGATCGGTACAGATCAATTTAAAAGCTTAGTCGGCTCGAGTGACAAGTTGAAGCGCGGGCGGGTTATAGAACGTGGACCTTACGGACACTCAGTGACCCTAAGCACGACGTGAACAAACCACTGCAATATTGTAATTTTTGTGTTGTCCTCTGAAGTGTATGATTCTGGAAACTCACTCGAAGGTTTTTTGTTTTGAAAGCCACTTGTGCCACTCGGAAGCCGCCGTTTTGAACAAGGTAATTTCCTTCTTAAGCCAACCTGAAAAAAAGAAAAAGAAAGAAACATTCATACTACTGGAAGCTTGCGGCGGCAAGACAGTGGCGCCACGGTGCGGCTCCTAGAGGAAGCATTTCGCGCAGACGTCCAGTGTAGCAGCCGACCTTAGTTACAAAACGTCTGAGGCCACAGTCGGCGCTACGTTTTATTTTCCACAAGACCTCGAAATTAAGTATATGGTCTCCTCCATGCTCGGGTAAAAAAAGAAAAAGCCGCCATTACGTAAATCCCAGTACGTCTACTCAATCTGCCAGAGAGCAAGAAGTAACCTGGTAATACGAATCAGTCTTGGGTAAGTTACTTTTCAAAAAATAATTTGTTACAGTTAGTTACTGTCAGAAAAAAGCCGTAAAGTTACCGTTACAGTTACCGCAGCAGAAGAGTAACTCGTTACAGTTACAGTTACTTTTAAAAAGTAACTACGTTACTTTTCAGTTACTTTTCTATAACACACAAAAATTAAAAAAAAAAAACTAGAAAGCGCCCCTCAAAACCTTTTATTGCATAAAATTAAAAAATGTACGCTTTTTACTTCATATTGTAACTTAGCAGCAGTTGCTTCTCGAAGTTAGTGTTTGAAAGTTCCCACGCCATAGTAGTGGCGCAAATCAAAATGCGAAACATGCGCAGTGTGAAGTAGTAGCGCTAATAAAAATACGAGACATGCGCAGTGCCCTCCACGTGTATTGTTCTTTCACGGTTGATTCAGCCAATTAAAAAGCGTTTGCACAGAAAAAAGAAAAACCACAACATAGATAGTGCTTCAAGACACAAAGATGTAAGTGTTCAGTCAAAAAGTACAAGCGCGTACGTAAAGATAACTAGATATTTTTTCATAAAATCTACACGTGGCTATATTCGGGTCGTGACTCGCGAGAAAGAACGTATTCACAACTTTGTGCAAGGCCAACTTGATACTCGAAATTTCGGAATAGACCATTTGGAGTGTGCAAGAAATGGCTAAATAGCACCTCCGTTCAGTTATATATTATTCATAAAACACTGGAAAGTAACGACAAAATTAACGTCGTTACTTTCATTGTTACCTTAGAAAAAAGTAATAGAACTACAGTTACAAGTTACATTTTTAAAAAGTAACTCGTTACAGTTACAAGTTACCAAAAAAGTAACAAAGTTACAGTAACGCGTTACTAATAAAGCGTTACTACCCAAGACTGATACAAAAAGCTAAAAAAAAAACAAAAAAAACTTTTATTTGGGTGGTGGCGGGAAGAGGAGGGAAACCGAAGGAAACAAGTCGGAAGCCACGCGGGAAAGCCAGATGGTCACTTCGGGTTGACCTTGCCTAGCAGAAATCAGGATTTACAAAACGTCAAAGCTTGGAATAATAAAAATAAAAATAAGTTTGCAAGACCAAGCTCTTAAAGAGCAAAATCTCAAAGTAGACAAGGTATGCACCCGCAATGCTCGCCTTCAAAATAAAAACTTCTGCATAAGTTAAAAAAAAGAAAAATGAAAAAATGCAAAGGCAAGCAGAAGCAGAGACTTCGTAGAAGGTGATTCTTATTAAGTTAAAGATCTTTGTTAACGAATGAAACTGCTGTCCTTGTTTGCTATAACGTAGAAAAAGTAGCTATGCAAATAATTAGCTTTTTTTTTTTCACAACAGTCATCGACTCAACTACTTCGGAGTTTAGTGATGTCTACTCTACTCAAACTACTTTTGACACCGATACTCAGTAGCTGAACTACGTTTTTGGAGAAACTTGTACATGTCTCGTGGTGCCCCAGAAAGAGCCACCAACCCGATTCAGTGGTGCGTGAGACCACCAACAAGAAAGGGAAGGAGCATTTTCTCACCGATGTCTATTGTGTGGTCCTTGTACGGCGTGAACTTTGGCTCCAGCTTGCCGTATGCCGTGCTCAGAGCGTCTCCCAGGTCCATCATGTTGTACGGGAGCAGCTCGGCCTCGGACAGGTACAACGTAAGCACCAGCTGCGTCTGGGCGCACCTCTTCATCCCGCTGTAGTCCTTGTCGATGAACCTCTCGTACAGGTCAACAGTCTCGTAGGCCGTGTGGTACGACGCATACGTCGCGCTGTACTTTTTCTGCGAGGACGACGGCGAGGAGTGCGCGGTCGTCCGCGGTTCGAAAAGACCGTCGGATACACCACTGTTCAACACCGCCTACATTAACCAAGGTCTGCGAAAACCCTCCTTTTCCTCCTGTGAACCCCATCACAATCGAGTAGCGCCAACTTAACAATCGGAATCGAACCGGATGCGGAACGTCCTTCAACGCGTTGACTGGACTGACGAACTTCTGTCCAATCGGCGTGTTGTATAGATGTCCCTTTGTTAACTCCAACATCTAATGCTTTGATTATTCAAGATGAGCTTGGACTGTTGGATGCCTAAAGTCCTAAAGCCTAAAGTCCGAACCACAATCACGGTCTTCAGCAGGGAAGACAATCCTCTGAGCGCCCTCCCCTCCGAAACTGCGAGGAGAGCCGTGCCGGGGCAGTGTTGAAAGATAAAATGACGTGGGAAAAGAGGGAGTAGGGAATACTCGAAAGCGCGAAGTGCGCGTCGGTCTTTGATTTAAGGACGACGAGGTGGGACTAGTTTTTCCGTGCGCACAAACGGAGATGAGGAGTGTAAAGATTGGTGTGCTTATAATAAACAGGCGAAGAGACCCTGAATCTACCATCTTATAAAACATAAACATAGAGGAGACTTAAAAAGAAAGCTAAATTATTCAATAAAAAAGAAGAAAAGAACTGGACGTAGATATTGTTTCCCAAAAACAAATAGAGACTGGGATAATGCTCATGACTATACTCAGTTTCATACTTAGTGTGTAACGCTGCCAATGCTACAGGCGCGAGCATGGGGCTTGATCTCGTTGATCATTTGCACGTGTTCTCGCGCAAACAAAACCATAGATGAAGCCACGCGCTCGCACCAGTAGCTTTGACAGCGTTGCACGCTAAGTATGAAACAGAGTATAGAGCTGGAATTTTCGTAACAAAATGTGTCCTGAAATTGGGACAAAATAAGGACAAGAAATGCCACAACCTCGGGACATTTTCCGGGACAATGTGCGCTTCTTTGGTTACGCTCATAGTGTTTGTTAGCGTTGAAATATGTGTTATTATTTTGAATACTTATTTTCCGCCAAATCACACGATGTACTCTCGTGCTTTGAAGGAAATGGTCAGGCACACACGCACATATGCTTGCACGGCTTAGCAACGAGCAGAAGTTTATGAGCAGGCTCTCCGAACCGGACCCGATAACGCTATCGCTTTCCACTATTAAAGGCGAGGCTTAATTGCGTCCCCCAAGCTTTTAAATTGTGTTTTCACGGACAGCTGTGGAGTCGCACACGCGTTCTCAACTCCAGCAAAATATCTTCCAATGCTGGATTTACTGGCTACTGTGAGCACACCGTGGCTGTTTGACTTTATGTGAAATCTGTCGACGACGAGACCTGCACTGCCAGGACCAAACAAAAAAACAAGCCGTCAAAAAAGAAAAAAAACTTTTACAATTCCCTGAAACGCCGAATTAGAGCGCAGCTCTTGAGGAGGAGGAGGGGAAGGAACGAAGAGCAGGGTACGCCCCTCCTCCTCATCCGTACCCTCCTCTCCTGCTCCTCTTCCATTTAGCGGGAAATGTTCGCTAAATTTCCCGCTAAAATTAGCGGAAAAATTGTTTCCGCTAAATTTAGCGGGGAAATTTTTCCATTGAATTTAGGGGGAAATTTACCCATGATGCAACGCGCGGTGACGTCACGAGTGACCCTCGTGACGTCGCACGTGGCGTCACGTGTGACGTCATTATGGGAAACGTCCCGTAATGCAACGCGCGGTTGCACCGACGCCGACGCCGCCCAAGCCGGAAACGGGCGCCTAAGAGCTGCGCTCTAAAAACAAAACGGGAGCGGGGACGTTAACGTTAATTGTCATCGCTCTACTATTCGCGCGTGTTTTGAGCGGGGCTGAATTAAAATACAAACTTTTATTACACAGTGTGGCACTGCCACGTGTCGGAATGTGTCAGAAATCTAACATGTGCATGGTTCCCGATCATACACGTTCTGTTTGAGCGGACTTACCGCTGCTGTCAAAACGGTAGATCTTAATCAAGGTGCGTGCGTCAGTAGCCCGCCTAAACATTTGAGTAAATTGAGCCATCGCAGATAGACTTGTATTCGCGCCTATAATATCGTTTTTTTTTTTTTTTTAATGTGATCCAAAACAAAACCTTGAGCACATTTCAGATAAATACAAATAGTTTTTTGGTGATATTTTATACTTGATATGTCTCAAACCTCTGCACAGAAAATGGGTTTTCTTCAATAATACCTCTCGTTATGTAAGAAATACGGTGAATTCTGATTTTCATTTATATATTTTAATTATGTACCTTGGCGAACAATGTATTCTAGTTTCTCAATATATGTATATATATTTTGAAAGCAATTACGCCTAATGTATATGTCAACTTTACCCTCAAAGCTAAAACAAGCTTTCCAATAGGCAGTACGAAGTAAAAAAAGAAAAAAGAAATATTCCTGCGGGTCGTTTGGGCGCTTCAGTGCACAAAAAAAAAGTCAATTACTGAAAAAAAAAATGTTTTTTTTTGTTTATGTTAATTGAAGCGCCATAATGCCACATAAGAACTTTTTTTTTAATCTTTTGTTGAAAAACTTGGAGGACGCTTTAATAGCTGAACGCGATAGCGTTATCGGGTCCCATTCGCATCGCTTTGTCATTCACCATGCAAAATTGCCTTCGTGGCTTAGTCAGTAGCGTGACTGGCTCGCTACTCAAGGGCCGTGAGTTCGAATCCCGCCTCAAATTCTTCATGTTTTTCTTTAAGGCATATGTATGACTTTATAAAGTAAAATCATTTGGCGGCGACCTTTAATTTGCACGACATGTCATGTTTTATTCACCTTTATTCCACGCGTGACGTCACGTTTCACATGAGCGTGGTGAGTTGTTTGAAATTTTCGCTCGAGGTCATGTGGCTCTGACGTCATGACCGAATCCACCAATCAGGATTTTCCCGTCACGCCACCGACGCAGGCTTTTCTGCTACACGAGCTAGTTAATTTATGGCGTTAAAAGAACTTACTCCGTATTCCGCCCAGGACTTCTTGTTTTTGTTTTATTGCAACCTTCTCAGTGATGCAAGTTTTTTTTTAAATATTTTTACTGAGCTATTTCGCCTTGTAGCATGAAGTTCGGTGTACATTACAGTAGCGTAATATGAACAGCTGTGTTTTGCTATTTACTTAACTTGCTTTAGATTCATTGTCTTTGAGAATATATAATTAAAAAAGTGTTTTTTTTTTTTGGTTTTTTTAAACTTACCGGGTCCGGTCGGAATGTCAGTGCCACTGCCGGTATTCCCGCGTAAAAGTTGAAAGCATTGTTGTCCGCTCCTCCGTGTGTCAGGCGGACGCTGTAAGGTAAGTGAAGGCGGCAAACATCGAATCGTCATCATTGACCTTGGAAACGCGGCGTCATGTGACGGTCTGTCATTAGACGTCAGATTTGTGAATGCAATAAATGTTCTGGTTAGTATCTTCCAAAGTGATCTACGCCCTTCGTCGGCTTCACGAATCCACACTCCATTTTCGTAACGCCATGTTGAGCTATGTTGGTGAACCTCTCTGGCGGCCATAGCTTTGTTTTGCCTGGTTCTTAAACGAGACACTAAGCAAGTTACGCTTCAGCCATCTTGAGGATGCTTAAAACCCCTGTTGCCCGGTGTCTAGAATAATGTCTGCTGAAATCACAGGAAGCAGCTTTCTGTTATCCCTAAATGTTTAAACGGCCCATGACAGAACATAGCGACATCGCTCGAGCTTTCTGACACGACATCTCGAACTCATAAAGTCGGGTTTTTGAATTGTAACTATCGCCGACGGACCATTTCCGGAAATCCTGGGTTCGGGAAGTTCTTGTTGAAAAATACGTGAGCACGTGCTCAGGTGAGCGCGGGCGTCGCCTCGACCAAGGAAGCAAAATCCTGCTGAAGTAACGGTATTCTGGGAAAGTATCGCCATTGCGTTTCCTGCCTTCTAGACGGACGTGAACAGATACTACACTACAGACGACCGAGCTTTGCAAGCTGATTGGCTGATCAGTCTCAGTTGCCATGACAACCGCAATTTTGGTCCATCAAATCTTTGAAGCTTTCTAAGGGATTGTTCTGGTCCAGTCGCGCCAAGATCGCCATGGAGCATCATCGTATCTGAAAGCGTTCCTCCCCAATATAAGCGTTTTTGGCACTGTGCATGCAATCAAAATATCAGTCATGATTATCACCACGGAAGGGTATTGTTGTTTTTGCGTATTCGAAGATAAAAAATTTATTTTCAATGCCGCCGAGCACCGACGCCGCATGTAATGGCGGTGGGAAGTTGTGCGCTTGTTCCCCGGTATGGGGATAACGAAATCTCGGTAATCAAGAAACTTCTCTCTAAAGCTACAAGTAACCATCGAATTTTAGATCGGCTCCCCAAGAATGGAAAGGTCAAAAAGAAACCCCTCATTCCATGAACTACAATGGCGACCATACGGAGAGCTTGGCACTACTTCTTCAGGAGCGTGTGAGTTTGGACTCTGCTAGATTCATTAAGCTGCAGTCCCCTACCGGACGTGTACTGAAACTTTATGCCTAGATAAGCGCACGATGTGTGACCATTTGTTGGTCTTTGCTTTACTGAAGGAGCCTCCCGCATGGGAGGCGAAACGTTTAATTAAACCCTTAGTGTTGTTGAGTCGGGCCGTTTTCATTTTACCCTTATCATGTGTTCTACCAGCTTTCAAAGTATCTTAGCCTATAGATTGAGCTTTATTTCGTGCAAATTGTGGCTAATCTCCTTGCTCCAAACTGTGTTCTAAGACGCTTCTTCCCTCCCCTTTCTAATCCGTGCATTGTTTTCATCCTTGAAATCCTCGAACCCCATTTTCCCCCTGGTGGCACCAGTTATTTCTAAAACGGTGGATCGATCCCGTTCTGCACAGAGCTCCAAAATGGCAGCGCTCACAAGAAAACCAGGAAATAGTGTGCCGTATAATCTAAGCGTGTAAGTAAACCTTACCAGGTGGAAATTATCTTAAAAATCTACTTACTCTGGTAAAGCCGGGGCGATGACGTTCTCGAATTCGCGCCAAAACTCCAAAAGGGTCTGGTTCCCGTGAGGTACCTTAAAGAAGCAATATTAGAGGAAACTAAAGCTATACGTATGTCTAGGAACGTGAAAAAGGCAATAAGAAAACAACAATGTATTATTTTATATGACCTATGAGCACTCAAACTTCTACTCCCTTAGGATTGTAAATTAGGTTGCCCTAGGTCTAACCCTCAGGGGTGTTACCGCGAAACCATTAATATCTAGAAAACGGTTTAGCCATAGGTCCCTGGAACAGCGTTTTTACACCCTTAAAGGTGCACAATTTCTTAGTGTCTCGTAGGTTCCGTTATAGATGAGTTAGGACGTATTAGGGTAATACACGATTCCGCAAGTTAGGCATTCTTTAGCCAGTGACTATTTCCACGTCCAGCTTCAAAATAGTTGCAGAAATAGTTTGGCGTCTTTCACGTCATTTCCATAAAACGTCAAAATAGCGATATTATTATTTCGACGCCCCTCGCCAATGCAGCCGTCGCAGTAGCTTGTTGTAGTGACAGCCGTTTGTTCTGTCTAGTTTCTGACGGTGTCGCTGTTATTTTGTCAGAGTCATGTGTCGCTGTGTCGCATGCCTTAGTAGTTTCGGTCCTACTTGGCACTGGAAATGTTCCAGTTCTTATTCTTATGTTCTTACTCCGTGGGTGAGTGTACTCGAAAGTCTCGACACTTGATACTTTCGGAAGTGACACGCCAGGCGCGGCAATGTTCTGAGCTCTTGCACGTCATTTCGGCACGCGTCACACTTAAAATATTGAATCTCCACCAAAAGTGAGCTGGATATATTCCTCTATCTTACCTGCACATAACAAATGTCAGTGCTTACACTACGTAACAATGAGAGTTTGGCAAGGTTTTTGTTCCTCTATGCGTAAACTACCGTGCGACTGCGTCTTCTTATAGGTGTTCTTTTTGGTTCGTGTATAACGAGTTGGTTAACTACCAAACGATGGGATTGTTAAACAAAAAGTTGTGAATTGAAACATTGCCTCCTTGATGTTTCCTGATTAGTGCGAACGAAAAACGAAGGTTTTGATGCACCGAACAAAACATTAGCGCCTCTCCTGTATACTTCTTATCCTTGTCTTTTTTGCGCTATATTATATGTTTTACTAAAACATGATCATGCAGTGTGCGCTGCAGTTGTACGATATACACGAATTGTCTGTCAGCAAATGTCGTACAATCAACTGCAAATTTTATGAAATGAGATTCAGTTCTTTGGTCTATTAAAACACGTGAAATAAATCATGAAAAGTAGCGGTAGCATATTTTCTAATGTCTAACACCCCAAAGTAAACATTACATATGCAGCCTGATAGCGTACGTACTTCGAGAATCATTTTATGTTTTCATTCTTTCTTATTTAAAATGTCGTAAAAACGCATTCAAGTCCCCAAATTTTTTTTTTTTTTTTTGCGAAAAATGCGCGTTGAACAGCGATGCTGCCTACAAGCAAGCTGATCTTTTTTTTTTTTTTGACCACCGTGTTTGATTACTTTTTTGTCCGGACTCCGAAGCTTTAAAGCTGTCCAACTGTTTTAAATTTGAGACGTCTAAATAATGATATACACTTTGAACGTGGGCATCTTCCGATCTGTAAGCGAGCAAGCGTCTTCAGCTTTGTACCCTCAATCAACTGATCAAACTTTCTTTTTTACAACATTCACCGAGATAATAAAAGTTTTCATTTTAATTATTGCCTCAAAATGAATCCTCAGCACTGCTATCGCCGTCAAACCTCATCGCCGCGGCGTAGTTTCAAGTAGAGGCAGTGTGAACCTGTACGCACCATTGTCGAACTCTTTTTTGTTCGCAAAAACACCGGTTTGTTTGAAAACGAAGAAAACAAGAGAGCTTATTTCTAAGTTTCTTTTTTTTTTGTTTTGTTAGAGATCAATAAAAAAATAATTAGTGCTTGTATAAAGTTATCAATCACAGGCGTAAACTCATATCGGTGCTCCAGAAATTTTGTTTGGAAAACCATTTGTAATTGAGAATTTCGGGTGGTTCACTGCATTCAAATAGAAACAGCAAAGCAGAAACACTTGTTTTATGATCAAACGCGCGTGAATTTGCTGGGGATCATTAAGCAGCCGCATTCGCAAACACCTCGCCGATGCGGTTCTACCGCCAGTGTGTATGAAGAATGATTGTGAGGTGGGCCAAACGAAAATGCCCCCTCCAAAACAGCGGTGCCCCTGGTGGCATTCGTTGACCCTATACCATTTTTCATCAAGGTCTTGTGTCCAGCGGCGTATTAAAAGACTCTGCTAAAAGTCATCCGTTTTTTATTAGAAGTTTGTCAGTGTTGCCTGCAGCTTCAGCTACGTGACACGCGACTCCACGTAGATCTGCCGCTCTGATTTTCACTTGGTTAGTTCTAATGGCGTCACCGCTAAGGAAGAAAGATAGTTTGAACTGAAAATTCAGTACATATTTTTATTGTTATGAACTGTCTCGCGCGTAAACAAGGATGGCATTCCCAGTGTTCGTTTGACTCTGCCAAATACGCAATGCCTTATTGCACTGACAACAGACATCAAAATGGCGGATTTTCGTCGTACACGTTTGCAAATGCAGCATATGGGTATGGCCATCTTGCTGCTGCTGCTGCTATGTTTAAATCATTTGGTACTATTGTCTTGCTAAGGCATGCCCGCTGTTGCGAGGATGCTGCCCAAACAAAGAGCTTTCCACCCGTAGTGGCCGGACTAGCACTCCAAGCCTGTCTGCTTGCGAACGTATGCAGTTTAAACTGGCATTTTGTGATATAACGCCATAGAGGCGGCCAACGTGGGTATGGAAGAGCAACTATGAAGATACTTCGCTTTCAGGCTTACACTCGTTTATAAAACATCTTTGGTGTCATTTACACTTTTGTTTGGCACGTGTAAGGCAAACAGGCATAGTAATAATTTTTTTTTCTTCGTACCCCTGAACAACATTGCTGTTTTTACGTGGTAGCACAAGCTAGAGATTGTGAGAGATACAATTCATATACTTTCACAGATGTAAGAAAATGAAGAGGCCCGAGCTTAAGGGAAAGTCATAAATAAATCGCACAAAGCTAATTCACACTACCTCTGTAGTACAAGAAAAAAAGTAAAGTGAAAAGCTAAAGCGCGTAGGAAAGTCCCTTTCCAACGGGCGATCGAGTGCGTACCAATTGAGCTGCCGTGTAGAAAGTGTTCTTCAAGGACGGAGATGCGTAGGGTACAAACGACGGACCTGCGCAGAAAAAATAAGCTTATTTAAACACTTTTCGAAGCGTCATTCTGCACCTAGCCGGCAATGTACTCGTCGCAGCAATCAATAATCATTCTGTGACCAGCTAAACTAATTAAAATGGCGTGAGGTCACGCGCTCTAATTACCATGTTCTCCTGGCAACAGTTGATGTAATTGCAGAAGTGTAGTAAGTTGGGCGAGTTGGTATGATGACATGATGAACAGGACAGCGCACACAAAGACAAGGACAGAGAAAAGGAACATGCACAAGCGCTTGTGTGTCCTGCATGTTCCTTTTCTCTGTCCTTGCCTTTGTGTGCGCTGTTCTGTTCATCAAGTTGATGTAATGTTTTTTCTGGTTTTAATAAGAAAGCATTAGCTGTCCCATGAAGAGGAGCCAGCGTTGTCTGTAACCGCGAAAACGGCAGAGAAAATTCCCTCCGCGATGCGGGATTTAAAATGTCTTCGACGCGGCCCGCTCGCCGGATAGTTCCACGGAACGCCACTTCTGGCGCTGCTCCCGCGCGCCGCCGCAGCAGCGCAGACCCGCCGCTCCTCAGAGCCCGGCCTCTGCAGATGATACCGGGGCGCTCAGCTTATATATGAATACACTACGTATACGAATGCTTTCGCATTCCTACACTTCATCAGTCTTAAGCGTCCTCCTGTAATTTTTTTCTTCTCTCTTTTCGACACCACGAGCCCTCCGCTTGAGCTAGGTTCATTCAACTTCCGATCACTTCAATTCGTATTTGAAGTGCACAAAAAACGCCGGTCGTATGCTAACATCCCGGGAGTGAGGAACCCTGTCCCTTGACCTGCATTTTTGTTTTTGAACATTTAGTAACCTAAATTATACGCAAAGGTGTTTCTAAAGCCTGAAAAATTAAAAGGAAAATGTTAGCGAAACCGGGCAAAACTTATAATTAAAAATTGAAGGCGATGTTTACAAATAAATTGAAATCTTTAAAAAACTGCTTACAGAAATTTCTTTTACAGGTTAGGGACAGTTGCGCCGAAACCACAAGCAGAAATATATATATATATATATAATTTGATTTGATAACTAAGGTACAGTAGCGCTCGTAACTGTGATTAAGCCAACGATAGTTAACTCAATCGCGATTGGTCGGAGTTACACGGCGGCGCCAACTGTCATTAAGCCGCAACGATCATTGAGTTCAACTGGGCTGACCTCAGTTCCCATGGCCAGCGCCAATGAAGCACTTACTTTTTCGGAAGATTGGGGGACGTATCTAGAAAGTATCGTACAGCAGCAAATATTGTCGAAAGAGGTATGATTCGGGGCCACAGCTGCTGCTAGAACGATCACGGCACGTCGCGGAAGCCAAAGTTCGGCGAGGGAGGCCATTGTGATGTTGGTGTCGATAAGACTTTCGTTATGTTTCTCATGCTTGTATTCGCGTGAAACGTTCCGAGTATCGTTTCTTTACTAAAAAAAAAAGTTCATTATATTTTCTTTTCAGCGTTTACATTGGATGAAAAAATATGCGTAAAATTCATTCGCATCACTTAAAAGCAAAAGTATTGTGACATCAATTTTGGTTTTGTTTCGGTTACAACTGTGTCCCATGACACGCAATGTCAATGACATTGCGTGTCATGACAGTTGACACGCATGACAGTTCAATGACAGTGGGGAGATGCAAACGATCGGTGGCTTAATGACAGTTGAGAGCGCGAGTGCAATTAGGGTAAAAGAACGCGTTATTAAGCAGGCGAGATGGTTGTTAACCCACATACTAAAACCCGAGACGGAACCAAAACTTTACGTCGATGCGTAACGTGTGCAAACAGGTGAGGGTTACTTGGGAGGATATGAGAAGTGTGGTGAATAAAACTTAGTACTTGTGTTTGAAACGTTTGTCTCACTTCTTTTTTTACTTCCATCTCGTGTTCGAGTACCTCGAGATACAAGATGAAAATTATATTTAGGCGATTTATTTTTCCTAACTAAGCCACTGATGTCTTACCGGACGGACAGTTGTCCACGTTCACGTAGCCTACCGCTCCATGGTTGAGCAGCAGGAACTTGTCCTAGAAGAGTTAAAGTGTGCTGTTTGCATAGTATCACTACACGAACGCCACAGGTCGTGTCAACTACGATAGAACATTTCAGAAATACGCAGCGCCTCCCATTGCCACTCTGACGCACTATGGCAGTCCGATGGACGACACGTGAAGGAATACCCATAAATAGAAGGACAGGACCATGTTTGCTTCGCAGTCTGCGATATCAGAAAGCAAGAAAAAGCAGGACGATGACAAAACAGGGCACGCATTGGCATCGTGATATGTTCGCTTTCCGTTCTTTGTGTTTCAAACTCACAGTAGCAACAGAGAAGGAATTTAGCCACTTTCAAGATATACGGAGCATGCGCGCTGGCCCGTGCATGCATCAGAACGGCCTCACAAATCCCCGCGCCGCGTGGTGCAATGTCGAGATGCCTTCAGGAACTTTCAGGAATGATCTGTTAACATACGATCGCCTTTTAGTTAAAAAATATAAGACAAATGAGGAGGGATAATTGGCCGAGCGCGGGCTCGGCTTGTTCCAGGGCGTCTTCACAAATTAGAATGTGGCCAACCAGGGGCCGGAAATAATACACTGGCGGCGGTGGCGAGAAACAAAAATTCATATGTGCGTCGGAGTAATTCTTGGCGCCTGAAAATATGGAGCATGTGAAGTTCCAATCACGGCCGTCCAAGTTCAACGTGGAAGAGCGCGGCAAGCGGAACGATCGACATATTCCGTACGCCAGGCGCCGAGGGCCATGAATCTGCCGTCCGATAGGTCACACTCTGTCCAATAAAACCAGAGTTCGAGCGGCACATTCATTTCTGACATTTTTATGCATGAACATAATCGAAACATCCCGTGCACCCTATTTTAAAACCACAAGGGGTTACTACATTTAACTCTTACGCGCTTATTAAAACCATATAACCATGACTAAAACTTTCTCGCTGGCTACTACGGGAGAGTTTTCGGCTTCTGGTTGGCCAAAAGAGCTCGCCAAGCACACTTTCTGCGTCTATTGCACGCCCTGGCTCTGCTCGCACATCCAGTTGAACAAACTCTCTCCATACACTGCTCTGAGTGTACAGAGCTGTGATCGGATAGAGAGAGAGCAGACAATAGGCGCATCTAAAGTCACTGGATCCTGTGAAAGTAGCGCCATTGCCTTCTTTGCCTGCCAGCCGGACACAAAACTAATATACAGACGACCAAACCTCGCAAGGAAATTGGCTGATCGCTCTCAGTCGCCTTGGCTATCACCATATCGGTTCATGAAAATCTTCGAAGCTTCGAAAGGGTCCTTCTGAACCAGTCGCGCCAAGATCGCTATGGAGGATCATGATACTAAAAGCGTTCCTCGGCGATATAAGCGACTTCGGCACTGTGCATGCAATAAACTTATCACTCATACTCATCTCAACAAATTTCTTACAATTATATTGTTGTGCTTGAGTATTTCAAGACAGAAAAATAATTTCCAATGTCCTCAAGTACCGGTGCCGCGTGTGGTGGCTGTACAAAGATGTACTCTTGTTTCGCCGGCGTGTGGATAGCAACATCTCGGTATACAGGAAACATAACTATAAAGCTACCCGTCACAAGCCTACCTAAATAGACTTATCGAGAATGGAGAGGTCGAGGAGAAACTGCTCGTTTTATGAACCAAAAACGTGGTCATACGGGCAGCTTGTCGCTACTTTCCCAAGATCGAGTGATATTAGGCACAGCGAGAAGACAACAGACAGCGTTGTCTGCTCGCTGTGCCTTTAGAGAGTTCGCGCCACAAGTTAGGGCTGGTACACACATTTGTGTCGGTTTCGTTCACCACAACCGAAAGGGCAGCGACGACAAAGTCACTACGACTTGGGTTCGCCGTACACAATGTGGCAAGCGATGCAAGAGGTAGTTTCGCGAACGTGTTAACTAGCTTTTACTTTCATTGCTAACTCGGTCGTCTACGATGAACACGTCCGCCGTTGACCCTGACAAATTTTTTGGCATTCTTGAGTTCACAAAGTAATTCGTTAGAGTTAGTCTTTCAGAAAAAAGTAGCGAAGTTACGGTTACAGTTACCGCAACAAAAAGATATTCGTTACAGTTAATTATTTAAAAAAATGAACCGGCGTTACTTTTAAATTCATCTTTTTATAAGACTGCACATCTCTTTTTAAGAAGGAAGCGCCCCTTTCCCCATGTTTATTGATGAAAGTGCAAGTAAAGCTGGCGCGAGTTAGCGCAAGACGAACATATGAAACTCAAAGTGTCGGAACACGGTGATTTGAAAATGTATATGGTGGGATTTGACGCGTATCTTCTGTGCTGCATTGCTGTGAGGTACTGCCGACGCAGTCGATTTTTTATGTAGCTGAGCATTATATCTCGAATATATGTCGTACCACAACTGCTTGCCTTGAAAAAAATTACCAGTATGAAAAAGTAAAAAAAATAAAGTGCAAGGAATGGCCTGATTGAACTCGTTCAGTGATGTCTTAATGCTGATGTAACTGCGAAAAGTAACGATAAAAGTAACGTAGTCACGGTCGTCGTTTCTTCAGGAAGAGAAATTGAACAACAGTTACAAGTTACATTTGAAAAATGTTACGCGTTACAGTTAAAAATTACCAAACAAGTAACGAAGTTACAACAAGGCGTTACTTGTAACCCATGACTACCCAAAACCGTTTGGAGGTCTACTTTCTTTTTTAAGGAACCAGAACTACTCCTTGAAATTTGGCAAGGTCCCACCGACTATCTTAACACCTTCGCCGAAAGCTCGAGCATTCTATGCATGCTCCGACTTTTCCGGCTGGTTTTACGGCGTGAGTTTCACTGTAGCCAATCTATATATCCCAGATGGAGGCTACATCCAAGATGGAAGCCACGTGCCTCGACCCACTCCCCAGAGCCGGCGATGGCGATCTCCTCAGCTGCCCAGACGCCAAAGATGATGGAGCGCCGGGGCCGCCAGATGCCCTTCTTGACCAGCTGCCCGAGCACGTAGGCCTGCTCCAACATGGGCGCCGTTGCGGAGGAGGGGTCGATGGTGCCCCTGGCCCAGGCATCGTGGTGGTTGCCCAGCATGCTGTACCGATCTGGACCAGGGGTTGTGTCAGGCGACGAGGGAATTTACTCGAAGGACGGTCAGACACTTTTTGTACGTTCGGTCAATACGACTAAGAATTTTTCATGATGTTCATAAGCTGCGAAACAACTAAGAACAGTTTTTGCTTTCGCACCTGGCTCGTGGGATCCTTTGAGCACGCCGATGACGTTGAAGACTTCCACTCGCTTCCATTGGTTGTTCACGGTCAAGCGGACCTTCCTGAAACGATGAAACAATCCGGTCAATTTTCTCGCATGCCCCCTTTCTTTTTCTGAGAGATCACTTAATCTGTGAGATTTTTTAATTACGGAATTTATGCTGTTTATGGTCAGGAACAACTTAGAAAATACTGTACGTTTCTTAACATGCAAGTGAGCATACTCGCACTCAAGCATCGGAAGGTTAGAGCTAAGAAACAGGTAAGACATAAGGCTAATCTCGTTCGCTTTTTGGGTCAAACGATGGAGCTGGGGTTCCGTTGCAGTAGAAACTCACATTCCGGCGTGCTCGGGTTTCAGAGGCCCTCGGCGGTAGGTCATGTTCCACTTGGCTGTTAACTCCGGAGTGGTCTCCACCACATCGCCTCCCATGTACCTGGAACGGAACAAATCTGCGTCCGACACCCGTCCGAACCGGACAGGCCGAGGGCAATGGAAATCTAAACGAAATGTTAGATCATTCGTCTCCGCAAGCAAAAGCAAATATAGGGTCTAAGAAGACTGTAGACGCTGAGGAAGAAAAGAAGACGTGAGCGCACAGGGGGGGGGGGGGGGGGGGGGACGTCAGGACACCAAGCTTTCGTAAGAATAATTAGTGGCTAGACGTAAGGCTAGCCACCTTTGTTTGTAATCACTCTTGGAACGCGTTCGAACGCAGAAAGCCAGCGTCTGACGTTCGGCGTTGGCGTTCGAGCTGTGAGTAAGTACAAAGACAGCTATAGCTTTGTCTCTACTCCCTAATCATTCCAGGCGGAACTATAGGCTCTTTGGCGTAGCTGCGATTTCTGGTCTCCTCCTCTCTCATCTCGTCGGGGAAAAAACAAGTTATTTTATAGTCACTGAAACCTGGCTTCGTAATACCTTCATCGGTTTCCTCATCGGCTAGTGCCCAAATCTTATCCCTGCATGCGAAGCGATTAGATGCTCAGCACTCGCCACCTCCTGCGGTTCTTAATCGATGTTTATGGCTCTTTGTAGAGAAACTCTACCGGCATGTGGGGTTGGTGGGCGCAAGCCGCGCTCTTTTTATCCTACCATTGCGCCCGTCACGGAAAGTTTCGCGTCGCGCCAAGACCTCCGGCTTTAGCGACGTTAAAATAGAGACCAAACAAGGATTCACGTTTCTACTTACCACTTCCTCTATACAAAAATTATTCGCCGCTTCTGGTTGACGAGTTATGATCACAGTCACGCGGCTTCGGCTTATGGTGAAAAGAACTGGTCGTTTTGGACAGCGACGCGGGATCGACTTTTTAGGAGCACGGCCATTTCACTGGGCGATCCCGATCGAGACGGGCGTGTTCCACTCGTCATTTTGGATCAGCTTTCACCCCAGATCTCGATCCAGATTCGAGAAAAGTCGCTCCGCCGAATTTGGTGGATTCCACCGGAAGCCAGGCTCGCCAGCCTTCCAGGTGTTCACGTGACTTCCTTTCTCGCCGGGCATCTAACCTCGGGAGAATTCATAATGGCCGCTCGCGAAGTGCCTCTGCTACTAGTTGATGGCAGCGACGACGAGGATTGCTTGTATGTCCAGTATGAATTCGACTGCATTTTCGGACCTCCGCACAAGAGGTCAAAAATCCAGACGTACTTGAATACTGTTCACAGGTATTCCGAGGAAGAAGCAAGTGGGCTACGCTAATGCTCATCGCTTATCAACACGCATCTTCCACATCATGCGTGTGTTGAGCCTGTGTTGTTAGCGCCGCGATCGCAGAAACATGTTCTTCGAGTACCGGGACCGCGGGAAGGAGATTCCCGAGAAGCTGAATGACGGGAAAGCATCCGCCGATCCCGTAGGAGTGGTCACATTCTATTGGGGATCCGGAGGCGGATCAATTCTCCGTTCGAATTGCATGCTCCATCGCGGATCTGGTCTACTGATCTCAGTGCGTTCCAAACTGACCCGTGAAATTCGCCATTAGTGTGTCCATCATTTTAGGTCCCTCAGCAGCCTCCCACTTTCCCGGGAAATACTTATCAGAAACAGAAAGTGATTGGTCCTCTTCTCCTTATACTTTCTTTTCCTCCATCGCGCTTAAACTCGTCCTGTCCTCTCCTAATCGCGCGAAAGCGTTGGTTAAGGGAATACGCACAATCCACAACGCACACACAGAGCTATACACTCTAAGAAAAAATGGAGGAAAAAAGCCGGGAACGGGCCCCTAAGAGCTGCGCTCTAAAAGTAGCAACGGCGCGTCTTCCTCTCTTCTACTGACGCGCCCCCAAGCGGACACGAGAAACAGGGAGGAACGAAACATTTTTCTCCTTCTCCAGGCAGCATAGAGATCATACATACTAACTCTAGAGGAAAAGGTCCGCCATTTTCCCATACATTCTGGCTGCCGCAAGCGGCGGATCATGCAGGCAGACCTTCTGGGTCCCAAACACGGTTACATCATCAGAGCAGTTTCGTGAACTTCAACAATTCACGAACTTACCGGTGGAAAGATATTCACGTTCCTTTCGAAGCTTTCTTTTTGAAAAGCGCGCAGATGTACGGCCTCGCGTTAACGCTAAACTAAACCATATACCCGGCTTCGCCAGTGGGGCGCGGCTGGGCGCGGTTGAGGAATACGAAACTGCGCAACCACCAGATTTCCGAGATTTCGACAGAAGGGAAGTTAATGCAGCGTAATGAGTTTATTGCTTTTTATAAGCGTTAGAATAGCTCATAATTTAGTTTACAACGTTAAATTATCACTGTTTATATTGCTAAGAGTTTTCACTCTTCGCGTTACCATGGCAACGTTGCTTTCTTTCTCTCGTGTTCTGTCGCTCTCTTTTGCGTTCGTTCACTCGGGACCCAGGATGTCGGCGCACGGGATTTGCCACTCCTCCTCACCCACCTTTACTCCCTGCCAGGCAGACAGGAGAAAGCTTTCGCCCTCCCGACCCATCTTCTTTCGGCTTCGTTTTTCGAGCAGGTCGTGCACGTTGTTTAATAAATAGCTGTTGAGTTGATTGAGCTTCAGCGGCAGCGAAGGCCGCCTGTAATTCCGTCTTCTAGTATAAACGCGCAGAACATTTCGGTTGCATTGACGTTTTTATCACTGATTTTATCAAACGAGCAAACGAAGCCGCTAGAAACAGCGAAGTTCCGGAGCAGTGCCAGCAGCGCCACGTACACTGGGGGATGGCCGTCTCCGGATTGCGGGACTCGCGCGGCATGGAACTACAGTCACTACAGTAGCGAAACCACGCGGACTTGTGTCGACGTTTTCGACGTTATGGAAACCGCAGGAACTACGTCCAAGACAGGCAGGTTTTGCTGCCGGCAGCCTGGGTGCCTTCCGTCCCGAGTTCGGTTCTGTTTTCCGATGCCGAGTGCAACCGGCGTTCAACGTGGTTCTGCATTTGTGCGTATCAGCAACATAGCTGCAACATCGTGATGGCAGTGTTGTGGGTTGTGAACAGAAGACTGCAGTTATCGCCGATGTGACCGTGTGTTCGCGTATCAGTGGTGTAACAACAAGATAAAATCGTAAACTGTCGGGCATTGATGCCGTTGGTCGGGCCGTGATCGGAGGGGGCTTGGTGTCGCAGGTTGACATTCCGCTTTACATTAAAAAGTTTAATACCACTTGAGGGATTAGGTGCAATCGATCGGCGTGCGGATAGTCATGTTGGAACGCTGGTCTGAACAGTAGAATCTCCTATCGCTATCGTACAGTGGCCAACGTGACTGTCGGAATCGTCTTGTCCCCGAGAGCGATTGAGCTCTGGGGCAAGGACTGAACAGTATGAAATCGTGACGGAAAGTACGTATATTTACAGTATGGAATTTCGGCATTATAAAACAATAGGTAAAATAAAAAAATAAAAAAGCTACCCTTTATTTTGCTGTTTAAATATACTACGGTTCCTAGAGAAACTGCCCTACAAGTGGCGCGCTGGGATGAGCGCTAGAAGTTTTCGGGCTCGCCACGGCGTAGCTCCGTACACTTAACACCTGCCGCAAGTCGCGGCTTTGACTGCATTCAAGTTGATCGAAAAGCGATTTCTCAGCCCGTGAAGCATCACTTCAAGCTGAGTGAATACCCGCTCTACAGAGATTAATTCAAGACGACAATTGCAGCTTTGCGCGAACAGCACAAATAGAAAAACCAATAGAAATACAGGCTACGACATGCCGTGTGGGGAAACAAACTCATGGCTTCGAACCGCATTGGAGCGGCTTGATTTATTGGCTTTCAAATAATTACGGCATGATGGAGCGTTTACTTTTTAATAAGAGATTAATCCCCTGAGCCCTTCAAAATACTCTCAGAGGTATGACATTGCTGGGAAAAATTCAACATGCTGGGAATATTTTTTATTGCTGAGGGAGTCACCGAAAAGTTCCGTACGTTCAAAACGACCAGTATAAAAGACGGAAACGCAGAGCACGTTTGTAGTGTTCGGGTTAGTGTGGTGTTTCTGTTGTATTTATATTTGTGTGTGCCGTGTATGTGCTCAATGTATGTTCACCTCATGTTAGTAATAAGCGTAATGTGTGTATAGTAGAGGATCCCCAAGTGCAGTAGTGGCCTGAAAAGAGCTAAATATTTTTTGTAGAACATGAATTGGACGGTACCTAGCGCCACCTAGCCTAGCTACTTGCAATTACTCTGCTTGACCCCGCCATCTGGTGGCTAGCGAATTAACCTTTCACGTTACGCGATAAACAGCGGCTTCGAGTTTGTTCTTTCGAGAGCGGCTTTTGGTACCGCGGATTGAGTTTGCCCTTGTCCGTGATGTGCGGTTGACGAAGGAATTGTGACTCGAGGAACACCAAAGGTAAGACGCAAAGTGCGCGAAGTAACTGGGTATCGGTTGTCTCCGTTTAACATCGCAGTGCTGTCGACGAGAAGAGTGAGTAACTGCTTTCGAAACGCAAGTTTCTGTACCTATGGGGAGAATCTGGCTTCGGAAATAAACACAGTTTGCGGAAAGCTCGTGTTACGCTTTTATTTGCTGCTGCTCTCGCCTTGTACAAGAGACGTAGCGTCCTCGTCAAGCCTTTTTGGGCTCGATTTGCTCGATTCAGGGCCGCCATATTGAGATGCAAGCGACGGAGGAACTGTGCTCCCCTGCTTCAGGGACGAACGTTTCTCCCTCTCTAAAGGAACATAGGTTACAAGAACGTTCCTCCCCTAAGGGAGGACTATCCATACCCTTTTTTCTAAGAGTGTAGCTCTGCGTGTGGTTCATAGCACGAAGGGGTAGCAGGATACGTATGGTTGTCTCGGAGGATAACCACGTGTCGCAGTTCGCTCCACTCAATGATAAAAGTGAGAAGCTCGCTGAAAGTGTTCCGGTTTTCTTCACGATGCCTCGAGAGAGAAAAAGACCGACATGAGAGGACATCGCTGAACAGAAGCTTTTGTTTGCCATCTGTCCACCATCCACTTTGGGTGTCCAAAAAGTTTCAGTCGCCAATTACGTCGTGTCTTTGTTCGACCTCTTGGCGACGACTGCTTTACGACATGTTGCTCTCCGTCTGCACGAGTATATTGTACTCTTAAAGAAACGCCAGTAAAAAGCTAGCAACTGCAGCAGTTACTACCTTTTTCTGACCGTTAATACCTTTCACTTACTTTTTACTACCTCAAACGCACGACAGTTAGTAAGACGTTAGTAAATGCAGCAGTTACTACCTTTTCCCGACCGCCATTACCTTTTTAGTAGCTATTTACTTACTACCCCGAAGTCGCGGACAACATGGCGGCGTCGACTGCGTCGCCGATGGCCAGCGTTAGTGGCACACTTAAGGCCGGTTCAGACACTTGCGTTTGAGTGCGTTTGACTGCGTTGCGTCGAGTGCGGAAAGCTAGTCACCGGCACATCTGTGCTTCGTATGAAGCGTGGAATCCAATCCAAGGAATCATCTTGGCACACGATATAAGCAGCAGGGATGTCCTGGTTTCTCGCTGCCGCAACGCAGTCAAACGCAGTCAAACGCAACTGTCTGAACCAGGCTTTACTGCTTGGAAATGCAAGGTGTGTGTGTGGGGGGGTATGCACACACACAATCTTAGCATCAAATATTGTAAGAGGGGGCATGTTTGAGGGTTGGAGCTGACTTTATAATGATCACAGCCTCTGTTCCAGCATGTCGTGGAACCCAGCGCTGTCGCGAGCGCAGCTATCGTTGATGCAATGGCCATACGGCTTCTGACCTTCCTTCCCGTTTGCATTTGTTTGGAGGCGTTTATATTTTAACTCTGATTTTAACTGGGATGAAAATAGTCGCGTAGCACGTGTTAAAATCATTTCCAAACAGAAGAAAGGTTAATTCTGTTTTAGTTTTTTGTATTGTTTTGTTCTTTAAATTATGCTTATTTTTCACCAGCGACGCCTGGCAACCTTGTGCGATAACACGTTGGGGCCAGTCGGAGTTTGCGAGACACTCATTTTTGCGATCTGTACTTGCCGTATTTGCCGTGTGTCGTGTGCTGCTCTAGTGTTCCCGTGTCGGTGTGCATATTTAGCGTTCATGAGCTCGACTGGGTGAGTGTGTGTACGGTCGTGAACTGCTCCGAGGATGGTCCTAACAAGCCGGTGACGAGCGTCCGCTGGTCACCGGATCTGCCGCTCGACGGCGATATTTCGGTCGGTTTAGTGGCATGGGTTTCGCCGTTCAAGAAGCTTCGCTGCTTCGCTCCTTGACACTGAAAATGTCTTTTTCACGGTTGATGTCTGCTCGGGGCTTGGATGATTCTCATGGAGCTGGAAAGTCCCAACTTGGAAGCGGAATCGCAGTGTAGAGACGATGCATGCGCAAAAAGGGGCAGTCTATGGGTGGAAGCAAGAACATGGCCGCTGGGAACCTATGTGGACGCTGTTTTATTGATTGTCGCAAGAAATTACTGTGTGTACCGTTACTTCTTAGTAAGAGATACATCCATTGGAATGTTTAGCAGAACTATTGGAGAACAAAATTGGTGCGAAAGGAGCACCATATTTACGAACGAGGTGGTCACTGACCAACCGACTTCATTCATGTGATCAGTATAAAAGACGCGTGGGTAGCCATTGGGGGCAGCAACTAGGTTAGCGTGTCGTTGCGTGTATGTTTTGGAGTCTTCTGTGTTCAAATTGCTCGTCGGTGCTAAATGTATAGACCGACACGCTGTTTACAGACAAGCTCGCGTTTGCCCACACCAGGTGAGGGCACTGCGCGAGCGCAGAAAACAGATTCGCGTGAGTTGAAGCTTCTGCGCATGCGCCGTAGTGACAACGGCGCCACCGCAGAGGCGTGACGTAAGAGCCGCGTGTTGGTTTATAATCCGTGTGCAAATGTGAAGGTATGCAGTGTTGAAAAGAAATCTATCACAGCGACAATACATTTTTGCCAATTTTGAATTTGACGTTGACTAGCCCCATCTGGGTCTTGCGACAGTTAGTGCCAGTTACTGAAGGTAGTAAACTATACAAGGTTAATTAGTAACCGTTACTAGTTTTTTGATCTAGTAACCGCTAGTAGCTTGACCGTTACTACCTACGGTTACTAGGTACCTAAAAACATATGTGACAAGCTGTTACTAGCTTTAACCTAGTAAATACTACTAGATTTTTTTAAGAGTGTATGATTGTTTTTTTTAATCAAACGCTCTTGTATTTGGACACTGTACGCCAAATGTAGATAGCAGACAACAAAGTGCGCTATAGCTGCCATTTTCTGCACGCATCTCTGTATTTACTCTGTTTTCATCGCATATCGAACGATGCAGAAGAAAGGCCCTACTCACCCGAAGAGAAGTCTGGCGTCGTCGTAGCCTATTACCAGTCCCGGTATCTGTGGCATGTCCGATGTGTTGGGATATCGTAGGGCCTCCTCTGTGGTTAAACATAACGCCAATAAGATCAACTTATGCATGCAAGGCTCCACATAATTCTCCCCAACCTTTTGTGCTTAAAAAGAAAGCGCGTCTTGACTTTCTCAAACTGGCGCAAATTACTTTCAGTAAAAACAGTCGCTGAATGGACGAGAACGGCAGGGAATAGTCGGCACCCAGCGTGCTCTCGCTGACTTCCGCCGTGCTCTGACTGCCCGTGGACGCTGGAGGCTATGTTGCTGAACTTTCATCCAATCACACCTTACTCATCTGCCACGAGCCGGCACGGGGCACAGATCGCACAGGAGTGCTGCGTGAGCGATCATTTGGGATTCATGTTCTCACTGGCCGAGCACGATCCGAATGGTGACGCAACACTCGTCTAATCACGTGCCCCGCGCTGACCCCCGGAAGCTGACGTAAAGAACTCCAGCACTACGGTATTTTGCTCTCTAGGAAGGCGTTAGGTATGGTCATTTAAAGGGAGGGTCACTGGCCGAGCATTGTACAGAAAAATTTCGTCTTGAAGAAAACAATTAAATTATGTTGTCATTGCTTTGAAAAGCATCTTTCGCACAACATTCTGAATTTGTATCCTCCGCGGCTCAAGTAATCCAATTTTAAACAGAGCACAACTGCTCAGATTGCATCCGCCAAACACACATAGTTTTTGTTGGCAACAGCGGAAGCTTTCAGAAAGAGAGCCATGAGAGCTCTCGACTCCTGTTTCAGCGAAATAACTTTGTTCCAAAGGCCCGTACTCATCGACTTAGACTATACCGGTCTTTAAGCCTCTTGTGACGGCCCACCACCAGCTGCAGTTCTTAAGAAAGACAAAATTTAAGGTATTGAAACAAGCCTAGTTTTTTCACGATGTTCTTTGCCCGTACCAACGACCAGTATTCCCGACTTGGAATAACCTGTACGCCGCGAACCTACTGTCGAAATGGGAAGCTCGAGGGACTTGGAGTTAACCCACTATCGGCAAGTTAATGCATATGCTACCGTGGCGCATAAGGTCGAAGGCAAGGAATCTTGAACACGTAGGCGCCACGTGGATTGTCGTTCCACTTACATGGCGTTCCACTTATTTCGTTACACTTAAACATCAATCTTTTTCAGTTAAAATTTCAAAAAAGGTTTACCTGGAAAATTTTAAAGATTTATTGTTTACCGGTATTAATTATCCGTAACACTGTTTTTTTAAAAAAAAACTATGAGTTATTTACAGTTATCTGCAACACTACTCTCTATAAACTACGATTTATGCGGAACACGGTTACTCCTGGTTAAGCGGAATTTATTTTTGTCAAATAAGTTTTGGTTTTATCTGGAACGTAAGTGGAACGAAACTAAGTGCATTGGCGGATTTTTTTTTTTTATTTCCTGAAGTTTTCTACCAGTAGATCTTCCAACCAAGTGTCCGACAGAGGGCACGAGTTATTCCGACAGAGGTGAATTACTACTCACTTATGGACGGATATCCGGGGGTTTCCGGATCTCCGTAGGTGTAGAGCGCCCCCCTCTGGAGCGCTGTGCCGTCCACGAACTGGGAGTTCGGGTATACTTTGTCCAGACCCAGGGGCGAGACGGCTTTAGGGTCCGAGAAGATAATGGTGGCGATGCCGCCTCGCTCGTGGCAGTTTCGAACCTGAGTGTGGGTGCGGCGCTTTCAGAAATGCCTCAGCCAGTCCTCTCAAGTACATGGCTTGCACGTGGCGCCATAAAGACGCCTGAGTGGTTCCGAGGAGAGTTATGGTTTACCAAAATACTGGACGCTGTTCTGTGCACCGGCGAAGCGCGATTGTTCAAGCGATGGCCATGGCGGCTGGCGCAACACTGTTTGTCGCCGGTGTGCTGCTTGAGACGGGAGCAGACGACGAGACAGCTTGGCCGGATGCCCATGGCGTTTGTCGTTACGGTGTAATTATTTAGTTAGCTAGTGGTGGTGGTGCCTCTCTGGGTTTTATTTCTTTTAAATACAGTACTTAGAAAATGGTTTGTTCCCTAGAGGATCCTCGAGAAGTATGCCACAGTACGTGAACGATAACTCAAGTTGCGAAGATTTGTTATTCCATTTCGCGCAGCAGACAAGTATCGTCCGTAAAATTGCTGCAGCATTCACCAAATTCTCATACACCATAGTATTTTACTACATACACTAATATAACAACAGTACTCTAGTACATCATGGCAAAGCGCCGGCCTATGGATCCCCAATAGGTGAGGACCCGAAGCCCGGCGAGGTGCCCGCAATCTGACGGAGGCTCATTGCGGAGAAGACGCCGTGGCACATGAAAGGTTCCCAGATGGTTGCAATGAATCCTGAGTCCTCCACTTGGGCGTGCCAGTTACTCTTTTTTTTTTTTTTTTGGTTTGGCACATAAAGGAACAGAGTGTGACTTTTGACTGACGTGTCGTCATTGCGCCGTGCTGGTGGTCATTCCGACTGGATTTTGCCAAGAAAAACAAAATAGATGGTACAAAATGCCTGCCACTGAAGTGCACTCAGAAAGAAAGCCGCCGCAATGACTGCCGATGTGATGGCAATTCAAGCCATTTCTCGAACAGGAAGAGTCCGGTGGACCGTCGGAGACTAGAACCTTCTGATTTTACCACGTTTCGTGAGCGGGCAGAGCCGTTGACAAGGAAATAGATGAACATATGATTGAACAGCTTATCACATATTTTAATAAAAATGCTAATTCTTGACGAGATTGCTGCGGAAGTACCGGTGTGACGTCTCCACCACGCTCCCATAACGGCTGAGAAGCTGTGCTGAGTATGCATTGTTAGCTTCATCGCTTCCGCGGTGCAAGAGAATGGAATAGAAAACACCCCAGAAGGAACTGGAATATTCCACTCTGGCGGGTATATACAGTTTAACATTTGTATGTTAAAGATTTGTGTCTTGGACCTGTACTCAAAACAAAAAAAAAAACGGAGATAAGGCAATATCTTAGAACCTTATAAATAAAAATGAGCTCGTAGAGGCGAGAAGACTTTATACAACGTTTAGGCCACTTAAATCTTTAGCTTCTTTATAGAAACCTTCCAGTAACGATACAGAGTCAATGAGCCCAGAAAAAATAACCTGATTAGGAAAGATACTTATAAAATATTATTACTTTTTCCTGCTCTGCATGCTCTTATATTGTATTGTATATAAGCTTAAATGTTATATTGATGGACTTTGTTTGACAGCACCACAAAGCTCTCCGTGGTCACCACTGGCTAGAGACGGAATTCGTTTTAATTTGCAAAACAACGCATGCATGTCATTTATTTATTTATTTTTTTTTGGTGGGTAAGCACGATAATTCTGTTTGAACGGACCCACAGAAACGAATCATGAAAGTCGACTGCTCTCTCCGGAGCCACCTTACCTTCTCTCCACGGTGGCCTCCGCCATACCTGGCCAAGCAGATGAAGCCCTTGACGGAGATGTTGTTTTTCTCGAGCTTGTCGAAGTCCGGGTAGGTGCCATAATTAACGAATATGATGTCGCCCTGAGGAGAGAAGTGACGACCACCCTGTTTTCCTATCTGTAACCGTACAACCTAGAAAACAAGGCTAGCGCCCCTCCCCCTTCGTCCCCCTTTCTCTCTACGTCATCACTTGTAAATCCACGCGCCGCCGCATAGCTTGCGTCAGCAATGTTGCCAGCAAGGGGTGCAGCGTCTCACAAGAGCACGACACTCGCACGCAACGAAGCCTGGACTCGCTTGCGACGCTTTTCGTTGAGCTTCCACGTTTTTGCCGCTTGGGGCAGGTCGGGGGTCTACTGACCATGACGTCATGGGCGCCTGCCCTTCTAGGTGATATTGCTTAATCCCAGGGCCTGATTACACCCTTTGTAAAAGCGGGGTTGCTTCTGTGGTGCTTCGCTGCACAGACTCTACGTCGAAATGCAATAACAGCGTTTTGACGTTTCTCCTCTGAACCAAATTCTGCTGATTTATTTGAGACGAACCTCGTGCCCTAAATTAGCCTTTGGTGGTAGCAGGACGAACCCACCTTGCCCCTCTGTCCCCAGCCAAACGCTGTTCTCTTGCAAAGCGTTCGAAAAATTTAAAGGGGCGGTGCAATGATTTTAACACTGAACGAATGTGCAGCTTGTATTTTTTATATTGTTTACTTCGGCATGAGTAAGAGAAAAAGTGCCACCATACCCCAAAATACCTCTATTTCGCTGCGTAATCGTAAAATAAAAAACGCTTTTTTTCCCAACCTGCGGCCACATGGTGGCCGCAAATGGAACCTGTGGTGTGACGTCATTCGGAGTGGTTTTTGTAAGTGATAGTGTTAGGCAATTGTAAGCTTGATTTAAGGTTAAGTTTAAAAAATCTTGTTGTTTAGGCATGCAGAAACGCTTCAGAAGCCTAATATTGCCGCTAAAAGGGTATGAATTATTTGTGGCGCCATCTACCGCAAGTCAACAAAACCTGCCGTCGCCGTCATCCGTCGACGCCCGAGGCGCCTACGGCGGCTACACGAGCAACCCGGACGTTTTGTCTTTCCCTCGCTCGACGGAGTGCGTTGGTCATGGTCCGTAGTATCGTGGTATCGTTATTGTTACTGGTGTCTCGACCTCGACTTCGACTGCCCGCCGCGTCGCAAGCATCTTGTGCTCGACGTCGCTCAGGCCATCCGCCATGCCACCATGTTGGTCGGGAATCGGCGGGAAAGCGGGAGAGCGGCGAGCGCTGGGGAAACGGAAGCCAGAAGAACCCAACCGGAAACCAACGCCACTCCGAATGACGTCACAGGCGAAGCTGGTGCCGCTTCAATGTTGAGTTGAGGGGTGCCAGAAATACCAATTTCTTTTATTTTTTTAATGAAAACTAGGGCAAGCAGGAAAGAATAGTTTTCGGTCCTTCGTTTTATATGTGGCCGGGATCAATTCCCGCAATTAATTAGCCAAAGTCCGCAAATTGTTGCACCGCCCCTTTAAAGATGTTTACAAATCGCTGTAACGCAAAATTAGAGCGCAGCTCTTGAGGAGGAGGAGGGGAGGGCACAGAGGGGAGGATATGCCCCTCTTCCCTAACCTCCCCTCCTCCCGTCCTCCCACTCTCCTCCTTTCATGCTTCTCCTCCCCTCCTCCTCCTCTCCCCTCCTCCTTCCATCCTCCTCATCTCTCATACTCCTCCTCTTTTCCTGCTCCTCCTCTCCTCCTTGTACCCTCCTCCTCCTTTCTTGCTCCTCCTCCTTGTACCCTCCTCCTCTCCTCTCCTACTCCCCCTCTCCCCCTTTCCTCCTCATGGATGAAGAAAGAATAAAACAATCTGGTTGTGTTGTCCCTGTTTTAATTGTTTTATTCTTTCTTCATTCATGACTTAAACCAACACGCTCTTCTCCCAAGCTTTCCTCCTCCTTTCCTCGTCCTCCTCCGCACCTTCCCGGCTTCACCTCCGCACGTGATGTCAATTTTCCCGCTAAATCTATACTCCGTTTTACTTTATGGTGTACCGCAGAGAAGGCTAGAAGCGCGAGCTCATAGCGTTGGGAGCTGCCCTTAACGCACGAGAGCTTGTGCCGCCGAGATGTGCACCAGAGCAAGGAGTTCGCGCTTGTAGCCTTTCCTGCGGTACATCATAAGGTGAAACGGAGTATAGCGGTGAAACCGCATTTGTTCATAGGTGACGTGACACCCAGTCATGTAACGTCGATTTCCCCCTATATTTAGCATCAAAACTGAATTGGTGTTACACTGCCGTGACGTCAATTTTCCCGCTACATCTAGCGGAGAAACTGAATTTGTTCATAGGTGAGTGACACCAATTCATGCGACGTCATTTTCCACTCTAAATTTAGCGTGGAAACTGAATTGGTGAGGTAACGTGACGTCAATTTTCCCGCTAAATCTATACTCCGTTTTACTTTATGGTGTACCGCAGAGAAGGCTAGAAGCGCGAGCTCATAGCGTTGGGAGCTGCCCTTAACGCACGAGAGCTTGTGCCGCCGAGATGTGCACCAGAGCAAGGAGTTCGCGCTTGTAGCCTTTCCTGCGGTACATCATAAGGTGAAACAGAGTATAGTGGTGAAACCGAATTTGTTCATAGGTGACGTGACACCCAGTCATGTAACGTCGATTTCCCCCTATATTTAGCATCAAAACTGAATTGGTGTTACACTGCCGTGACGTCAATTTTCCCGCTACATCTAGCGGAGAAACTGAATTTGTTCATAGGTGAGTGACACCAATTCATGCGACGTCATTTTCCACTCTAAATTTAGCGTGGAAACTGAATTGGTGAGGTAACGTGACGTCAATTGTCCCGCTAAATCTAGCGGAGGAACTGAATTTTTTGACAGGTGACGTGACACCAAGTCATGTGACGTCATTTTCTCTCCTAAGTTTAGCAGGGAATCAAATTGGTGTTGAGGTCACGTGGAGTCAATTTTCCCGCTAAATTTAGCGCGGTTACGCCGACGCCGACGCTGCTCAACCCGAAAAACTGCCGCCTAAAAGCTGCATTTTAAAACGACCTTTTTTTTTTTTTTGAGGGGTATTTTGAAGACGATCTCGACACTTCCAGCGAGCGTATATCTTCTATCACAGCACAGATGGTACGGACTGTTCCTCCATCGAGCGGTAGCTTGTGGCATCCATCCTACATGAAAATATTTACACCCTTTAAAGTTTCCTATAAATTATCTCTCTCGTTAAATATTCTACCCCCTCATTAATTTTGTGTATCACCACGCCTTCTCTAGACTTTTTTTTACCAATCTTCCAATCTACAAATTCAATGCGATCGCATTTAAAAGAGTAAGGTAGACGTGTTTTAAAAAAGTGTTGAAACAACAGGGTGCACCCACAGTCCTCTTCGCGTGCACAAACCCGCTGTTTGACAACACAAGGATCCTAATACGGCATCACGATAATAAAATACAGAAATTTACGAAGCTCGGGCCATTGTTATAAGAGGCGATGCTGGCATTAGTGTTTCGTCAGTAACATTATCATCAAAGGAACTACTGTACCTGAAATCCTTTCCTAGACTTCTTTTTTGTCTTTGTTCGTATACAATCATTTTATAAGTTCACTAGTATTCTTTATTTTTTAATAATTATTATATTGAGCAAACTATTTATAAAACGTCCAGCTATATTAGGACCTTTCCGATTTTCAGTCGTTTTTGAGTTTTAATTTTTAACGTTTTCCTTTTTTTTCTCTATCTTTTTAATAAAACGTCAGTTGAAAGTAGCTCTTGTGCTCTCCAGTCTTCAACTTTTTCTTGTCTGTTGTAGTAGTTGCTTTTGGGAAGGCAACGAGCAGTTGTTGGAGGCGGCACTTGTATTGCGTGCTCATGCCGTTACCGACCGTAGAATTAAAATTTGATTTTGCCCGTAAACAAAGTTACCTCGTGGTTTAACTCCCATCGCACTAGATGAACCAATAGGAGCAGCGTAAGAATGGAATTGTGACACCGCCCCTATTGTCTTAATTTAGACTTCCGTTACAGGCGACCCAATGAGGTGGACGAGGGTCTAAATTCGCGCGATGTTTGCTCGCAGGGCTGCAAAAACGTTCCGGGCTTACCTCGACGGTTCCCGTAGGAGAGTAGGCGAGGTACCCCGGAACAGAATCGGTATCGATGCCTGGAATGGCTGCCTCATGCATCCCGGCATCCATTACAACGTCTCCTTTCGCGTCGATCACTTGTAGCTGCAACAAAGGAATGTCCACGTCTCCCAAAACTGAGCGGCTATCTCTACCTCATAAAGCGGCAACGTCGCCAAAAAAAACTAAAGAAGTAAACACCGAGCGGGTTTTTTCAAGACGTCTGTTGCTCTTAACCGAGCGTGTAAGTGCACCGTAAAGCGCCGTTCACACAAATGCAACCGAGTAAGACCGAGAGAGACAAGACCGGTTTTTTTAAAGCCTCTTGCTACGTCTTAGGACCATCTTTGCCGCAGCGCATCGGGTCCTAAGGCCTCGCAAGAGGCTTAAAAACCGGTCTGGTCTCTCTCGGTCTTACTCGGTTGCATATGTGTGAACGGGCCTTAAGACCAAGGAAGACCAGACCGGTTTTTAAGCCTCTTGCGACGTCTTAGGACCAGCTCCGCTGCAGCGCATCCGGTCCCTAGACGTCGCAAGAGGCTTAAAAACCGGTCTGGTCTTTCTCGGTCTTACTCGGTCGCATATGTGTGAACGGCGCTTAACTCGGAGCACGTGCAGCGAATGCTCGCGCTGCCGAGCCCGTAGATCCTGGGTCCGATCTGTACATTTCGATCTGGATAAACATCATACCAGCGTGCTGTCGTATGTAGGCCTACTGCGTGATGCGCATTAAACCGTTTTAGTGCAACGCCAGAGTAAACTCGTTATGCGGTTTAATTTCTTGCTTTAGGGTGTTACCTGTTCTTGGCAAGTGAATAAGTTTTGTGTGGATGACTTCTGTTTCAGTATGCTCTTTTGTTGTACGAGAGTGGTTTGTCTTTGAAATCAACCTCGCGCTTCGGCAAACACGCAGATCCACAAGTTATTAATAAACTCTTACTCCAACGACTCTGAAAAAAAAAAAAAACTGCAGTTCCAAATAAAAAACAAAAACAAAAAAAAACGAGTTAAGTGTTACAAAAAGAGTGCATTCAAGTTTAAAGGTCGATGCACCCTTTTGCAGAGTGTCGTGCCTCGAAAGGTAGAGAACGAACAAAAAAAAAATGTCCTAGGTAGTAGGCACGCCGGAAGTAATTAACATTGTGCCTACACATAAATGTGTCTCTGATAAGCAAATGTATTTCGCAAGCCAAGCTACTGCTTTACTGGGACTGACATTTTTATTCGACACGCAGGGAGAAGACGGGGCCTATACGGAGCGCACCGGTGAAAAGAAAACACGGCATTCAAAACATTAAAGGCCCCAGAAAAGCACTGCACTTGCTAAATTTTTCATCTATATTGCAGACACTAGACGCCCGTTGAACCCAATTAACCTCCCGCTGCTTAAAGGGATGGTGCAACGATTTTCGTACATTGCGCGAATACCCATAAGAACAAATTCCTGACGTTTATGCCCAATGAAACCCGCGTTCGTTTTTCTTTCCACGCAATAAAAGTCGCAGACAAAAATTGAAGAGAAACGAGCAGCGTTCTCCCCATCAACTTGCCGCCGGAATAAGCGGCCACGTGATCTGGAGTCGATTATATGCCGCCAATGTTGATCATAGCCACGCTTTGAGTTTGGCCAAGCACAGGAGACGCGCTGAGTTCCAAACATTGTTGGGGTTCGGCTATTGTCGTCACTGCCGCGATTGGCTACGAGCCACTACCCGAATGATTGTCGAGCCATTGATTATCGCGAGCCAAAATCGACTGCTCACGCAATGCTCGAGTCCAATCAATGGGCCGCATTCAAATATCGTCGCTGGGGGAGCACGCCAATGCTGCGTCCACCAGACTACGTTATCGAGTTTTGCGAATGAGAGATTGAAAGAAGACGCTAGCTTTTGTCCATACAATTACACCGCAACAAGGTTGTTTCTTGATCAATGCCGTTGCGAGCAAGTCATTGGGTTCCACTAGTGCCAGTAAATTCGTGTAAATTCCAAAACATATCAAATGAATATCGTTGCACCACCCCTTTGAACATATACAACAGAAAAAAATGTAATTACGATTGTGATAGGGTTCATACAACGCTGACTGCTAGGCTTGCAGGGCGGGGAAGATTCGCTCTCACAGGACCAATCGATCGCCAGCCTTTTGCCGGCTGGTCCCGCTTTCCAGACGGTAGCGTGCGTAGATAGCGGGATTATTTGGTACAAGATCGACAGATGACTGGTTCATCGAGCTCCTAAACTTCCACCGCGCCCATCAGCTCATCGATTGCACATAAACTTTAGGCCGTAGACGTTCGTGTTTGGACATGAAAAAACACCGATAAACGTCCGTCGGTGTCAAAAATGCAAAATCGGCTAAAAGGTAAAAAAACAAAAAAAAACCGATAGACATCCGTCGATGTCAAAAATGCAAATCGGTTCCATTCAAACAACGTGGAATTAAGTTCTTGACATTTTTGCTCCAACTAGGACTGTTTTTCTCGAAACCCTCCCCTCTTAGACCAGACTCTGCTCGTTTTCACCTCAAAAAAAAAAAAAAAGCTAGTTTTTCTCATTGCTCTTACGCCGCTTGAAGTAGTTCTTACAATATTTGGTTGTCGGAGAAAAAAGCGATGCTTTTGGCGTTTGAGGCGAGTGCGTCTTGTCAAGGAAACATATATCTAATCTGAAATGCACCTATATATATCTTAATTCTCCACATTAACGGATAAATTAGTAACGCTCCGCGAGGAGCCGGATTTTTTTCAGTAGGGTTTTTGAGTTAAAAACCATGCAGGGTAGAGGTTTCATCGTTTTCTTTTTTATTACCGATAATCACAGTTTTTGTGCTTATCCGATACTGAACGCCAAAATACATCGAAATCTTTAAAAAATAAACATTGAAAAACATTTGTATTTTTTCCTTATAAATAAACACCGCATAATCTACGGCCTGAGTATAATATACACGTATTTAAGTGGTCTAGCTTCAAAAGCTCTACCATCTTGGGCGACAGACGCTTTGTTGCGGCACCCTTCAGGCAGCTGTGGGGGCACCTGACCAAGGCTTCCAATGGATTTTCACGCCATAACCATTGCCATAATCATCGCCCAGTAGCAAGACCCGTTTAGGTTACAAACAAAATAGTTCAAGCGGAGTGTTCTCCAGGACCATGACAGAGAAACGCCTAACTGGGCGCACATTTTATAATACTATACTTCGTTTCTGCTTAAGTCCATACGCAGCAGATTTTACAAGCACGAGCATGTGGTCCTGAACAGTGCATGCACTGCATGAGTGCGCGTGCTTGGCAGGGACGTTGAAAGCCCTGAGCTCGCTCTTGTAGCTTCTGCTACGCTAACGCTTAGCGAAACGGAGTACAGGGGACAAATATGGGCCTAATACGATTTTGTTCCAAGGCGTTAGTTTGTGCCAAAGTACTGTTTGTGCTTTTCTGTGGTTTTTCTTTGGTTCGCCCTATAATTGCAAATGACAGACAAACTACCAGGCAATGAACGGCACTTTGGCGCTTGGTTGACGATTTAGGCACAAAGGCGCCAGATGACAGCAAAAATGCCATGCAATGAAGGCTCACTTTGTCGTTTGTTTGTCGATTTAGCCACAGAGGTGCCAGATGACAGCCAAACTATCAGGAAATAAAGCCTCACTTCGGCCCTTGTCTGGCGATTTAGCCGCAAAGCTGCCAGATGACAGCCAAGCTACCAGGAAATGAAGCCTCACTTCGGCACTTGTCTGGCGATTTAGCCGCAATGCTGCCAGATGACAGCCAAACTACCAGGCAAAGAAGGCTCACTTGAGCACTTGTCTGGCGACTTAGGTACATAGGTGCCATTTGACAGCCAAACTACAAGGCAATTAAGGCTCACTTTGGCACTTTTCGGGCGGTTTAACCACAAAGATACCAGGTGACAGCCAAAATACCATGCAGCGAAGCCGCACTTAGACATTTGTCTGGTGATTTAGCCACGAAGGTGCCAGATGATAGTCAAACTACCTGGTAATGAAGGCTCACTTTGTCACTTGTTTGACGATTTAGCCACAAAGGTGCAAGATAACAGTCAAACTACAATGTATTGAAGGCTCTCTTTAGCACTTGTTTGACGATTTAGCCACGAAGGTGCCAGATGAGTGCCAAACTGGTAGTTTAGCACTCTTGTGACGATTTAGCCTCAAAGCTGCTAGATGACAGCCAAACTACCAGGTAATGAAGCCTCACTTTGGCACTTCTCTGGCGATTTAGGCACAAAGGTTCCAGATGACAGCCAAACTACCAGGTAATGAAGCCTCACATTGGCATTTGTCTGGCGATTTAGGCACAGAGGTGAAATATTAGGCACAGAGGTGAAATATGACAGCCAAACTACCAGGGAATGAAGCCCTTATTTGGCACTTGGTTGGCGATTTAGGGCCAAGATACGCAGACTGAGGACAAAGAAGGTAGGGTTTGAATCTATACCTTGCCCTTTTCGGTCTTTTCAAAACATATATTTCCAGACAATAAAAAAAAAAAATTGGTGGCCCATAGCATTGTGGTACCGGGGTTCCTACCTTATTTGGGTTATTTGGATCGGGGTACTGGTGTAGAATGGTGTAGGGAACCTTGAAGGCTTGATCCAGGTTCTGACCGAATTCGCGCAGGATGTAGTTGACCACATCGACCTCGCTTCGGTGTGTGCCGGACAGGTGAGGCTTAGAGCTCAGGAACCTTGCGAGCAAAAAAGTGACAAAAACAAGACAAAAACAGTAAGGTTTTGATCACAAGGAATAGCACCAGCACCACGCGAAGCCACTCAATGTTTTCAGCGGGAAAACATACCTCGCGTCTGTATGCGGACAGAAACTGAAGGAGAGGAGGAGACAAGGCCTGCACGTGAGGTCATCGTCGCCATCAACTTGTATATTAATGATCTAGTAATCATTGACGACAGTGTGAACTACATTATTTATGCAGCTACGATGTTAATGTTTCTAATACACAAGACGGAGGCTACAAAGAGGGTACAAACACAAGACGTCTCTTGTAACGTCCGTCTTGGGTTTTAGAAATGTTTAACTGTAATCAGCTCGTCAGCCTTATTACGTTATCTACATACGAACTTATTTTTCTTCAGGGGTTAACACTGATCAAATAATTAGTAAGGCTAAACATTCTCTTAATCAACAACATGCTTGGACACTATCGAATTCCCTGCAAATAAAGGTAGGCCAAACGAAGGCCGTCCTTTTTAGATCCCGAAATACAAATTTCAGTTATACGTCCATCCTTTCTCTTGGTTCAGACACTACTAATATAGCTGAGAGTGTGAAAGTTTCAAGTTTAACCAGAACATGGTTTTGAACAAAATGGTGCAATATACGCGTAATAAACTCTCAAAGGCTGTGGGTACGATAAACAGATATTGTCACATGATTCCCAGATACGCTGATACTCGTTTACAACTCTATTTTTTACGCTCATTATAACTATTTTTTTAGTATGGGAAAACTACTTTTACAAATATCAAACAAACACATACTCTCCAAAAAGAGTGATTCGTATAATATGCCATACGATAGTCTTACGAAACCTTCGTAAAACCTTTGTTTGAATTGTACGATTTAGCTTATTTTCTCTTTGCAACCTTTGATAATATTTTGTTTGTTGGTAGTTATCTTAGTAATGTTATGTATATTGTGCGCGTATTTGTGTAAGTCCTAAGCTGCTGGATTGGGGGGGGGGGGGGGGTGGGGGGGGGGCTTGTCAAGCAACACTGAGTGTTGCTTTTTCTCTGCTTCCCCTCTCCAAGTGGAGAAAAAAAGAATTGAATTTGAAATTTGGATTTGTTAGTGGATCTCCGACCCATCCCGAACAGCAAGATGGCGGCGCATGGAGGCCATACTTGCAGACTTTCATGGTTGGTGACAGGTCGAGTAAAAAGTGGAAGCTCCTTCCACCCTTTCCACTTTGGCAGAGGAAACGCTGGAGATAATGTCTCCTCATCTCCAGAGTTCACTCTGCCAAAGAAGAGAGAGGTGGGAGGAGGTTCCAGCTTAAGGTCCGTTCACACTCTTGCAACCGAGTACGACTGAGAGAGACCAGACCGGTTTTTAAGCCTCTTGCGACTTCTTAGGACGGGATGCGGTGTAGCGGAGCTGGTCCTAAGAGATCGCAAGAGGCTTAAAAACCGGTCTGGTCTCTCTCGGTCGTACTCGGTTGTAAGAGTGTGAACGGGCCTTTACTCTCAACACGTCACCGACTATAGGAGGTATTGGATGTGAGCGTGCGATGACATCAGAGCTTGGAATTCTGATTACGCAGCACGCCCTCCTCACCGGAAGGACTAGAACGTCAGGGAGGGCTTTCCAGTTGCCTCCAGCGCGCATGCGCAGCCCAAGCCCGGCGAAGGCTGCCCGGCATCCAAAAGAGAAGCCCTGGCATTCTCACCCTGTCAGTCACTATAAAAGGGATATTTGTTGTATTTTTTTAGAGATAAAAGAAGATGGCCAAATAAAATACAAAGACGTCCCGGAACCTGCAGTCGGTGTGGCGTCAAAACATCAAAATATCGGTCTCCAAAACATCTGCTTCTTAGGTGCAAAACTAGTTGCACGACTGGCTTATTTTTGTTACAAAAACAGAATTGACCTCCGTATATACCCGTGCAATGTTCCTCGGTGCCGCGTGCTCCCAGACATGTTCGTTTCAGGACACCATCTATGGCAGGGGTGGCCAGGCTTACCCGGCCTGAGAGCCGCAAACAAAACCTCGAGACTTCCAAAAGCCGGGGGGGGGGGGGGGGGGGGGGGGTTGTCTAGAGCAATTAACGAAACTCGGACTACTTTCAATCTAGCTGAGTCAAAAGCAGTCCAACGGTACTTAAGGTAGCAGTAGCACAAGGCTACCAAACCGCAACATGTCATTCGATTTAAAACCGCTCCATTTCTTTCTTAGCGGAAGTGCTCTTGTGACTGGGAGGGTAGCGGGGAAGGGGGGGGGAGGGAGGGAGGGAGGGAGGGAGGGAGGGAAGGAGGGAGGGAGCCGCGAGCCGCAGTTTGACACGCGAAGAGCCGCATGCGGCTCGCGAGCCGCAGCTTGGCCACCCCTGATCTATGGCGTTCATTCCGAAAATCCAGAACAGATGCTCCTATAACGACCCTATCAGTGATTGTCTCTCGCTGACCCATGTGAGACGAGATTTTGCGCGACAACGTTGGAGCGACGGCATCGGCGTGTTAACTTTTTTTCTCGCATTTTAGTTAAATTGTGTAGTGGCAATTAGCCAAGTTTAGCGTCGACCTTGGCAACCAACAAAAACACGCTTCACTGGAGCTTTAGTTTACATTACACCTTTCTAGCTACGAAACGAAGAAAAATTCAATCGTTTGATTGTGTTAACTAAATACGCTAAATTAGTTACGCTTCAAAGTAAATACCGTGCAGCCACCTTGGCGCCTATAATAATTGTTGCCTTCTAGCTGAAGCTCCATGTCAAATTGCAGGATATGGTTTACCGTCTTCGAGAAATGTTAAAACTGTCCTCGTACCAGGGCAAAACAACAGTCGTTTATTTCTGGGGCACGAAATGTGCGATTGGATCCGGCGCCTTCTTGACGCTGATGGATGTATACTCGTGTCCAGTGCGAGCTGAGCCGAGTTCACGCCGAAAGCTGACGTAGCCCTTGCGTCCAATAGTTCCGCAGAGTACGTGCCTACACAATGGTAGACTCGATTAATGGGCGCAGCAGCTACTAGGTGGCACCCACTTTTCAAAAGGGTCATACTTGTGTTTTCTTTAGTTTCTGGGCTAGGTGGCGCAAGTTACCGCTCATTTTAAAGGATACCACCGTTTGCAGCTATCCATTTATCCATTCATCCACCTACTCGGCCCGCACTAAACAAGCACCAAAATTGCGGCGCCCAGAATAAAACCGGGGAGCGGAGGGCCGGTAAGACTTGTTCACTCTTTTACGATGGCTCACGACCGGGTGCCTTAAAATCCCTTAAAATTAGGGCTTAGCGTCGATTAAGCAATTTGACCCGAGTAATTGCTACTCTTTAATCGGTAAATCGATCGATTAATTGGTCGTGGTAACCATTAGGTATGATATCTAAAGAAAGCGTCTAATCTGCATATTTTTCATTTGACCATCCTTTACCATGTCTTTAATGGCAGTATATACTACAGCCTTATTTGAAACTTGATACTCTACCGGCCATGGAAAGGAAACGCGGGAAAATCATTTTAAGGTTTTAGCATGGAAGACAACGGAGATGCACCCTAATATGAAAACTTCGCTCGTCCGTCTATTTTAGCGCGGTTTTACCTTCTCATAGTTATGTAGCAACTAGCGAAACTTAATCTCTTGCTGGAATATGAATGCCAACTAATCAATGAGGCCTTTCTCTTTCTCCATAATTTGTTTCCAACTCCAAACCTACGCGGTTACTCGGTTAAAGGAAATAATGGTTGCATTTAAATCATTAATTTATTAATCGGAAGGTTAATCGACGCATTACCCAGTCGTTCTTAAGAATCTCTTAAGACGAGGGAACAGACTGGCGCCATCTATCGGGTAGAAGTGGAACAGTCGCAGTTTTCGTATATATCCTTTTATTTTTTTTTTCGATCATCAATATTTATTTTGTTGCTGTAGCTTGCAAAAAACATATTTTTTTTACACTGCTATAAACGGCAATTTATCATAGATACATGTACGTACATTCGATCTCGCAAATACACCAAGTTCCTCGGCGTTTGCAAAATGCAGTTCCAAAGCAAGATGGCGCCAGCGTGCCAGTGCGATCTCGAGTCATAACAGAGTCAATCCCAAGCGGACGCAAGTATGTGAATAGGCCTTAAGCGTGGCTTATCTACACTCGTTTTCACCTCAAGGACCGGGGTAATAGAAATCCGACTCTTCGCGGAGCCTTGCTAAGTTTCCTCTTCGTGTAGAGAATTAAGACATATGTAGATGCATCTTAGATTAGATATATATTATCTTATCAAGACGTACGCGTTGCAAACGCCAAAACAATTAACGAAAAAATAGTCAGAGTGCAGGCGAGCTGGTGTAAGTTGAACATGATTGTAAACCTGAGACTGGAGCAGAAAAGAGAACACAACAGAAGGTAAAAGAGGAGGAAACCTTCTGTTGTGTTCTCTTTTCTGTCCCAGTCTCAGGTTTACAATCATGGCCAAAACTATCGCTGCTTTTTCCGATAACCAAAGCTTACAACCACCACATCGCACAACTTACAGACGATGCGCAAACACTTTTTTTCTTCCTTGAGGTAAAATCGAGTACAGTGGCTGTAACCTGTGCATAATATGCAAAAAAGGAAGGCAGAGCCTTTTTGCAACAATCCTCATAAAAAAAAATTAATATGCGTACAACACCGCCACAAAGAAACCGTCCCTTTCTGAAGGAAGATTTTTTCAGATGTTTACGTTGTGCGAATACTGGTTTCAATCGAGTAGCGCTGCGTCATTCATAGCCTTGACAATGCAAAGGAAACCCAAGACGGCCGGTATATTCAGCAGTGCAGAAGCTAAAGATGACGCTGCGCTATTTGATTCGAACCACTATTCGCACACCCCCAGTTTACGGTCTTGACGTACTCGAGATGCTCCTTCAATTTTTCCGGCCTAAGGCTCATCATAGCCTCTCTGACGATCTTGCTTTTGAGGAGGTCAAACTCTGGCACTATCATCGGCAGCTCGGGCTGTGCCGTCGGGGTAGCAGTGGGCGTCCCCTGAGGCAAAAAGGCACAAAAAAGGGGGGAGAAAAATGATGAAATATTCAAACAGGCAAACTGGCGACAATTCATATTAAAACAACAACAACAACAACAACAACGTTGAGACTAAGGAAATAAAATGAAAAGGGACACCACACACAAAGCTATGTTTGAGACTGTGTGCTGTATCCCCCTTCTCTCTGTTTTCCCCAATCTCGAAGTTTTTGTTTCAAAGACGACGAAATTTATTTTCATTATGTTCGAGCTTCTTGCTCCGTGATTGGTTCTTCGAGGTTATGATCGGCTCATGCCGCCAGCTGTTTGGCTGCAGAGCGATAATAAGATGCTCGCATTATGCCATGCTTTGCGTTCTTTGAGCTGGCAGCGACTATATACAGGGTGCAGCCGTAAGGGCTAACACATTTTGCACGCCTCGCAAAGTTCGAATTCCAAGCTTACGTACTTGAAACAGGGCGCGAGAACGTAGTTTCGCCTCAAGTTGTATGTCTGCTGTTTGTAGAGCTCAATTCCGAGAACGTGAGATGTTCAAAAAACAAGAATATATCGACATCGGAGGCCGCGTATTCTCTACGTCCTTTAACTAGTTTTTTTTTTTTTTTTTTTTTGTGCGAACATTGGTGTATATGAGCTCGCTCTCTGGCTGCTTGCTGAACGCAAAAAAAAAACGCAAAAAATGAACAAAAAAAATGGTAGAGGTTGGATATATGAGCAAGATAATCGCCATAATTAATACTTTTAACGAAATATATGAAGAATGACCACCTGTTGGAGCAAGCTCACAAACCAGTGTGCAGACGATCAACATCCGGTATAGGGCATAGGAAACGCAAGGCCGCAGTTCTTGCTCTATATTTAATGTTTCACCATCTCCGACTCGAGCTGTGAAAAAAATGATAGACATAAAACGTTTGGCGAAACTACGTTCGCGTGCCCGATTTTAAGTACCTACGGTTGGAATTCTAATATTGCGAGGCGCGCCGAATGTGTTAGTCCTTACGGCCGCACCCTGTATATCGTAAAGCGCACTAAAAAAAAGTGAAAGCCGTTTACAACTCCTTGTAACACCGAATTAGAGCGCAGCTCTTGAGGAGGAGGAGGAGGGAAGGGTACTGGGGGGGTGAAGTGACCTGGGGGGGGGGGGGGTCACGTCACCTTGGGGGTCACGCGACGATGCCGATGATGTCATCAGTGACGTCACTGATGACATCAGTGACGATGACGATGCGGACTGCGATGACGTCATCAGCGACGATGACGATGCGGATGCCGGTGGCGTCATCAGTGATGATGACGATGACGATGCGGATGCCGGTGACGTCATCAGTGATGATGACGATGACGATGCGGATGCCGGTGACGTTATCAGTGGCGTCACTGATGACGTCATCGGGGGTCACGTGACCCCGGGGGTCACGTGACTTGGGGAGCCAGGTGACTTTGGGTGTCACGTGACCTTGGGGAAGGGGTCACGTGACCTTGGGGAGTCACGTGACCTTGGGGGTCAAGTGACCTTGGGATGACCTTGGTTACGCCGACGGCGACGGCGACGCCGCTCAAGCCGGGAACGGGCCCCTAAGAGCTGCGCTCTAAAAAAAAAAAATCCGAATTGAACATTTTCTTACAAGGCACTTGGGAGAGCGAATATCTACTATCTACGGAGCAAGCTCGGTGAATGATGCGCCTAAAAATATGTTTAGAACTAAAAAAAAAAAAAGGTTTCACACTTAGCGCGTTGTTTTGCCGTGCTCAGTACCACAGCGCAAACTGTATTTTATGCACTGCGCGTGCGCAGAAAAAAGATCCGCTTGGGGTGACGCGCACGTGCCGTTCCGACAGCAGCGCCACAATAGCGACGTGACGTCAGAGACGCCTGTTGGTGCATAGGTCTATACGCATTGTCAGGGTCGACAACCGCCGAGATTTCTCTCCGTAAGCGGAGAGCTAGTCGTCTGCTTCTTTCGCGGGAGTTGCGGTGACGTCAGAACGACGTCGAGCTCTGATTGGCTGTGATTAGAAGGATATAGTCTTTTCCGTGCTCTGATTGGCTTTGATTAGAAGGATAGTTTTACCGTGCTCTGATTGGCTTTGATTAGAAGGATAGCTTTACCTCAATGCTAGGTGCCTTGAGGTCTACCCACTATCCCACTATTTTGTTCATTCAGCCAATAAGAGCTCGGCGTTCTGATATCATCGCAACCCCAGTGCAAAAAGCAGACAAACTTGCGGTCCTTATAGGCCTGGCGAATTAGAGCGTAGATTGCAGTGATTGGCTCTCCAAATGGGATTCGCAGAGGAATAGGCGCTCCAGATGTTTTAGTGTGCATGGTTAAGTGTACACAAAAGGAGAGGTCGCGCCCTAGGGCCATTTTGGAACCACATCTTTAACAAGGTGGCTATCACAAAAAAAAAAAGCTTCCATACCTTTTCTTATGTTATGAGTGGGTGATTAACATCCGGGATAGACCCCCACATCCATGGCTATTGTCGAAGCGTAGCAAAGAATAAATCAGCTTAGGAGTAACAGTTTTTGAGAAGCATGAGGGGTTAACCATGACGCGAGTATACGGTTATTTATACTTTAACTTTTATATTTCGTAGACATTTTATTTAGCCGTCAGAGGAAGAACATCCACCTTTCTTGGTTTCTTTTTGCTAATTTACGAGCTTCTGCCGGAAGGCTCACAGAAAGTCCCATGAAGATAATAAAGGTAAAAGGTAAAACCCCGCACAGCGACATGGCAGGACCTAAAGTAAAGGAATTCTGACAGAGCAGGATCAAGACTCACAATCTAAAAAGAAGAGCTACAATTATACAGAAAAAAACAAACAATATGATGTTAACGTACTACATAAAAAAAAAACAATAAAATTCCGAGGACACCTAACTACTTCTTATGAGTTGTGAATGCGAAAGCATCCCTGGCTCGCTGGTGACAGCTGCGCCGCTAGGTAAGGCAACGGCGGGACTGCGAAGCCCGGCGCGGTGCGTGCTGAAATCATGTGTCCTCTCATAATTATCATCGCCCTAACTGCGGGTACCGGTTGACGACGTCAGACCTCAAAACGTAACGATAGGCCTAACGTTATGCCTAACGTCAGGCCAGCACATACTCGCGTCTCCCCCCTCCCGCTACGCTGCCAGCAGTTCGGCTGGCTTCGTAGCAACGATGACGCCGTTGCTATGGAGCTACATGACGCGTCGCCGCCAATGGGAATTTGGGTCCCGTTTCGCTCAGGGGAATTTAGGTGCCATTTATCGCTGCCACAGACAACGATAATGCCGGCTTCACTCTCTGATAACGCCGCTTCGCTCCATAGGACAGTTAATGCTTTCGCATTAAAACTAAATGCACTGTACTACTGTAGTATCATATTGAAACGGGTTCCGCTTGCCACCCGTTTATTAGCCGGACAATACGTCCGGTGTCTTTGCTGGCTTTCTTCGAACTGCTTGCCCGAGCGCTCGCATCGCGCGACCTCCGGTCTCGTTCTTCTCTTCATCGCTACAATATACATGTTTTTGTGTTATCCTCCAAGCCTTATCCTGCACTATTCTCATGGAACGTTAGAAAAAGAACAAACACGTATTTGTTTTGTAAACTCTAGCCAAGCACAGAAACAACAGTTGCTTCGACATGTTTGGGAAGTGTTGTGAGTGACCGACGTCATGGGTGCGTAACGCAACAGAACCAGCTGCCCTTATTCGCAACAGTGTATGCTGCGACCCACTGTTCGAATCCGAACTCCCGACGCCAGCTTTCGGCTTTAAGGCCTGTCCAAACAGGAAACTTCAGAAATCTTGAGGCGTCACAATTCCGTCATATGTCATGCGGCGCTCCGCTTCCGTCCGTATTTTCCTTTCCTTTTTTTTTCTTTTTGCCGGCGAAAATTGTCTTTGTTTCTTATTATTTTTTTTTTTTCAAAGTTCGCTTGTATCCGTCATGGGGGCCTTGATGATACTCATCGCGTGGGCCCGAGCAGCCCCTCACACGCTGTTTGCTGTCGGTCAATCGCTCGAGGCCTCCGCTGCTGTTGAAGCCCCGAAGGCGGGAAAGATAAGGATACGAGGGCAGGAAGAACAGATGGACAGGCAACAGGCACACCATTTGGCGGGTGGCGCGTGACGTCTAGTCTGACGAGCACCGAGGTCACCGAAAAGCGCAGGAAGCGAGGAGGAGAGTCCTGATGTCTACCTGGGCCCGTTTTCTCGAACGCGAACCGTGGGTTAAAGTTAGCTATTGTCCCTAGAAAGGGGAATTCTAGGTCACGTGACTGGGAGAGCAGGGGCGACGAGGGAGGGGCAGTACCTACAAGCAAAATGGCCGCGACGTTGCTTAATGATGGCTAATAGTTCTGCTTGGTTCTGCTGAACATCCATTTCGATTCGGCTGTTATATTAATGACGCGCCATCTATTAGCACGTCAAGCAAAGCGGTTATTCAGAGGGACTACTAAACTAACCGGCGGCAGCATTCCGCGAACGCATCACTCTTCAGCATTCCGGAATCCAAGACATATGACGGTACATAAGCCTTGCAAGTGTTTTTATGGTGAGTAAAAAATGTTTTGCGAACGAGTGTTGGCATATATTTATACTAACACGTTTAATTTATTACACTATGCACGCCAACTCGTGAGCAGCGATTACTTTGCGGAGAAAGGGGGTTATCCTCGATAAAGTCTTCGTTCCGGGTGAACAGCTGGGACATTGTACTGTTTTTTTTTGTTCGCAGTGCGCCGAGAGTGTGCCGGCAGCATCGAGGTTTCTACATATCCCCGGTGGCCTAGCTTCTCGTCACCGGTGGATCGGTTTGGCAAACGGAAGAGAGGGCAAACAGTTGAGATCAGCAGGAATCGCAGAAACGTGCGTCGCAAGGAACAAAAACGAGACTACAGCATCGGCGTTGCCAGACTAGAAGGCACACGGGAAAGTTATGCGTTGTTTGTGGCGAAACATGTTGAAAGAAATGTTTC